AGACTCTTTAGCTTCGCAATCACTTGACGAGTCATTTTAATCCGTTCCTTAACTTCTTTCTCAAATTGCCGAAGCACAGATTCGTCTATCGAACCTCCATCAGAATCATACGAAGCTCGATACGTCGGTTTATTAATCAGATCCGTGTAATTCCTCGAAAGATCAGCGAAGATCCTAACGAGTTTCGAATTCTCTAACTTAAGCTTCCTCGCGTAAGAAGCATAAGCGAATGCTAATGACCGATGGTCATAAGCTTTGTTCTAAGATCTGAATCAACCGTGGCTTAAGCGGATCCGATTTAATATCCAACATGGATCTTCTAGATCCGACTCCATTAGAGTACTCTACACCCTAAAATTCCACAAAAAAATTCGAAAAAATTAAACACAAATCTTCGCCAGCTTTGAATACGATTTGATCGGAGAGATCTGATAGAGAGAACTTACGGGAAGAAGAAGATCAGGTGAATCGTTAGAATCTGAAACGAAGAAGAAGGAGAGAGTGAAGAGGAAGAGTGCGATAGTGGAAGCGAAAGCTGTGAGTCTGATTTTGACACCGTTAATCGCCGGAGATCCGCCGCCGCGTAAAAGTCGGTGGTGATTAGCCATTGGGAGAGAACACTTTGCAACTTGAATCTCACAGTTACATTCAATTTTCAATTATAGAGCTATTAATGGAATCTCTCCCGTCTCACTAATCTTACGCGGCCAAACTATCAAATGTGTCGGTAACCATTTTTTCAACTTTTTTTTAATGTTAATTTAAGTGTAACAATCATATTTTTGACTTTCTATTAAATTTTGTAGTAAAAATTGCCAAGTAGGCAAAGTAGTGTTTTTATATCAGATCTGAGATTTCGATCTGTTAAGTACGTAGCATAATGGGAACAAGAACGATTATATTACTTTTAGATATTTCCCTTACCGAATTTAAAGTTTAAACCATGTTCTAAAAATTTCCGCCTACCTCCTATTACTCTCCGTTTAATCGCTAGACTCACAGTATCTACCTCATTGATGACTACTCGCTAGATTCACTATATCTACCTCATTATAGAAATAAGTTACTCGATTACTTTCTGCCTAATCCGATTACTTCCTGCCTAATACAATTACTCTCTGTCTAATATTACATATCCCGACTATTTTTATATTGCAAACTAGATATTAACCCGCGGTACACCGCGGGTCTATATTTTCCCTAAATAAAAAAATGATTTTTTTAGAATGATCTATAGATATATGGTAAACCGCATGTCAATATTTTATAACTAAAAAATCAAAATTTAAGTTGTATTTGTTTTATTTAGTGTTTAAGATTGTATAATTGTATTTTGATCGCTAATTCTAGGATTTCACCTGTAATATACCATCCCGTATTAATATCGATCTAAATCCGTCCCACTATATAACCCCGTCCCGTGAAATTAAACATCATTTTTGTAAATTTTTTTATAAAGTTCAAATATTTCTAATATTTGAAACTTCATAAAAGTTTTAATACGACTCAAACTTCATAATTGTATTTTGATTGTTATATCTAGGATTTCACCCGTAGTATACCGTCTCGTATTAATATCTTTTATAAATATTTATAATGTTTAAACTACTTATAAATTCTTATAAAATTCAAATATTTATAATATTTGAAACTTCATAAAAGTTATAATATTATAAATAATTAAAACGTTTAATAAAGTTAGACTTTTTTATAGTTTGTATTTTCGTTTTTTATTTTTTCTTTTAAGTTTTTTAAAAATCAATGCTATCAAACTGTAGTTATCTTATATATATATATATATATATATATATATTAAGATTATCATTAAACATGAAGATTTACCTAGAAAAAATAGGGTGAATAAAAAAAACTAACCATATGAAAGAATCTGACGTAAATTTAAAGCATATGCTCTTGATAATGGCAATCATCAATGGGTTGCTCATCTTGTATAGGATTATCTGTGCAAGACATCAAATGTTTATTAAATTCATGAATCAGAAAAATGAAAGTTCATATAACAAATAAAGATTGGAATGGGTAAGAAGAGGTATTTGTTTGATGAGTCTTCTAGTCGAGTAAAAGTGTGGTATTTATAGGGTAGGTAGGCATCTAAGTTTATTGTTAAGGTAGTTTGATAATATCTTGGAGAGAAAGTAGAAAATCAAAGATATTATATACAACGAAAGTTTAGGATATGTTTAAGGAAAGATTAGGAAATCGTTATATAACAAAATTTATTTGAAAAAGATTGTAAATGATTTGGTTTTGCAGAGAATCTTAAAAAAAAGCTAAGCAACCATTTAAAAGGAATATAGCCGACTAATGTGGTAATTAGTTTAGAAAATCACATTAAACCGAATTAAAAAAATAATTAGAGTCATAACTTTGTTTCTTAAAATCAAATGTTAAGAAAAATATCGAAAAGTATATAATTATGGTATCATCGTTGAGATTTTCTTGGGCGGGAATTATGGATTCAATTAGAGAAGAGAACCATATAATGGAAAGAATTTAATTAGCCATAATTATGTTTTAAAAATATTTTATTGCATAATATAAAGAGAATATAGATGATATATGGTATGGATGTAATTAGTTAAGATGGCATAAATATTCGAAAATCATCTCGAGATAAAGAGTAATATAGCCTATTAATATGGGAAGAAGTTAAGGAATAAGGAAACATAAATATATGTGTAATTATCTATATTAATGACGTTTTTTTGGTTAGAGATATGTAGAATTAAATGATAATTTGGTATTAATTAAATGCTATCAAATATCTCGGAGATTTTATTTTAGAAACTAATCGTGGACTAAGCAGAGATTTTTGCAAGATTCATAAACGAAAAATATTAAATGCTACTATTGATAAAAAGGAATTGAACCAATTAATGTGGGAAGTAGTTAAGGAAATAAGATTAAAACGAATTGTATGTTTAATTTAGTCTTAAATGTCGTTTTTATTACAATATTCCTTAAATCTCTTATTCTAGATCCGAATAGGTTTAAACCGGGTAAAACCCAGATCCAAATGATTAAAAGCAAAAAAAACCTGTAAAAATGTATATGTAGATATGAGTTTAATACCATTAAATTAATCAAAGATTTGTAATCATAATTGGAAACGAATAATGCAGTAAATGCGATTTAGTAATGTTGTAAAGAATATGCCATTTATGTAGAATGATTGTTGCGATTAGTTTCCAATTAGTTTTATTTTTGGGATTATAGTATCTCAAATTTTAAACTAATTTAGATTTTATTGTTTTGTTTACATAAATATGAAAATAATTTTTTCACCCACATCATAAAATATTACCAAAATATATATATATATATATATTACGTAATATTAAATAAAAGATTATATAACTAACTATTTTCATTTGATGGTGTAGACAAATTATTATTAATATTTCTGTAATTTAATTTAATTACAAAAATAATTTAGAAAAATAACAAATATTACTTTTTATAACAAAACAAAATATTATTCGTAAAAACAATATTTATTATAAAAATATTTTGAGAATCCTTTAGAAATTTAATATTAGATATTCAAATATATCAAAAACATAATTACGGATTATGTGAAGATTAGGATATATAATCTTCAAATAAACATATTTTATTATGATTTCCTTATGAATGTATATATTAATTGTTATTTTGATTTTAAATTTATTACAATTTAAATGGGGAATTGCCTATATTTAATCTGTTATTGTAAAAGAAAAATGACGTAGCTTATTATTGAAGAATTTACACAAATTTATTAACATAATATATATATATATATATATTAACATAATATATATATATATATATATATACTGTTAAAAATAAATACATTTTTCTTTATAATTTCATAATATATTTATTGTTAAAATCTGGACATTTATTATGAGCATAAATATGAAAAACGATTTTCCATTAAAATTGGCTATTTATTAGGGTCATTAATATGAAAGATTATTTACCATTAAAATAGGTAACTTCTTTGTAATTAAAGAAACATTAAACGGAATAAGTAGATGAATTAAAGACAACATGGCTTCATTTATCAGTTTGAAATTAAGACAACATTCCTAAAATTCCTTATCCAAGATCCGGATAGAGTTAAACCCGGATAAAACCCGGATCCAAATGAATTAATGCAAAAAAACTCTATAAAAATGTATATGTAGATTGTTATTTTGATTTAAATTTATTGCAATTTAAATGGGCAATTGTCTATATTTAATCTGTTATTGTAAAAGAAAAATGACATAGCTTATTATTAGAATATTAAAAAAATTTATTAACATAATATATATATATATATATATATACTGTTAAAAAAATAAATACGTTTTTTTCTTTATAATTTCATAATATATGTATATATTGTTAAAATCTGGACATTTATTATGAGCATAAATATGAAAACGATTTTCCATTAAAATCGGCTATTTATTAGGGTCATTATTATGAAAGATATTAAGACAACATGACTTCATTTATTAGTTTGAAATTAAGACAACATCCCTTAAATTGCTAATCCAAGATCCGAATAGACTAAAACCCGGGTCAAACCCGGATCCAAAAGAATTAAAGCAAAAAAGTATTATAAAAATGTATATGTAGATATTAAAAAACTTTTATTTTTTGTTATTCATACATTTGAATTGGGAGTTTGTGATGTTTTACAATAACTTATGTTCAAATTTTAATAAAAATCATAGATATTTTACTAAAAATCATAAAAACAATTGTCTCAAAAATATATTTTTATGTGTTTACTGCAATTTTGAAAACAATATTAGATTGATATATTTTAAAAATATTAAAATAACCCTAAAACTAGTCCCCGATTTATCTCCGATTTTAATCCGATTTTGCGATTAATCGCTAGACCCATACCAAACGCCCGACTAGCGCCTGGCGATTTTTCAAACAACGGTTTAAACTATGTAACCATAGATTATTGTATATAAATGGTTACAATATTTTATTTAATAAAATGAATGGTAATGAAATCTAAGACCATACAAATTTACAATTTAACAAAAATATTATTGTGGGATTAGATCATTAGAAGACAGAGATAAGACCAAAGGATATAATATCTAGGCATGTCCATGTTAGGTCTCGGAACGGAAAATAGCGGGTACATGATGAGAACGTATGATTTAGATAATGATTGAAAAACAATCTTTGAACTCTTTTTGATAAAATACGGTGAGGAAAATTTCGAGTAACGGATAAAAATTCGGATAGCAAAATTCAATTCTCAAAATCTCACCAATTTTTGTATGGGGTCGACTTCGGAACCGTAAAGGTCCACTTTGGGACGGATATTTCGAGAAATTCGAACATTTTGAAAAAATTGAGAGAAGTTTTGAGATATATAAAGAGCACCTAGATAATTTTCATATTTGTAAGAATTAATATCCAAATGGGAAATACGGGTATCTCATCCGAATCTCTTTCATGTTCGACTAAAATAAACATTTTTCGAACATGTAAATATTTAGACAGGAATGATGGCCTTATGGGACGAATAATTCCCGACGGATACAGGATGGAACGGTATTCCGTCCCAAAATGGATAGTGCTAGGAAAGCTAGTTAAGATCAAAGCCAAACACATATTGCAAAACCTTAGCCTTTAATCATACATTTTATTAAGGGAGAGTTACTCAAAAGGCTTAGTGAAGAGGGAAAAAAACTAAAATGGCATGGTTTTGAAGCTACAGTAATATCTTTTTTAAAAGGCAATCTTGCCCTCATAAATGTGTTAGGCGAGAAAAAAATAACAGAAATGCCATTAGAAGTAATTACAATAATTTACAGAAATGCCATGAAAAAGGCGGGAGATGGGAAAAAGTAAGAAGCGGGAAAAAGGGAGGATAATTTGGAAGTGGCGACAGATTTATGGAGGTGACAGATTTGTATGGTAGTTTTAATAAATAATGACAGATTTGTCAGATATATTTGATAAATCTATGTTTAAGACACAGTAGATTGAAGTAGAGTGATAGATTTATGTAGTTTTGGTTGAGTTATTTGGTAGAGTTGTATATAGTGGTGACAGAGTAATATGTAAAATGGTAGAGTTGTATATAGTGGTGACAGAGTAATATGTAATAACAAAGGTTATGATAGAGTTGTTAAGAAAAGACAGAGAAATGTAGTAGAGTTTGAAAATTGAAACAAAGTCTGTGAGTAGTTAAAGTAGAGTAATTTTTTACGATAGATTTATTATATAATTGACAGACTTATCCAAGAAATTAATTACTAGCGTGTCACAGTGTGTCAGATAAGTGGTGGTATACTTTATGTGTGTGACGATAGAGTTGTGGTATTACGACTGATTGGTGACAGAGTTAACGAGACAATGTGGGGGTAGACTTAAAACCTGTAAAACCGCAATCCTTTAAAAATGTTTTGTTATATAGACGTGATAGATTTATTTTGATAGAGTTATGTATGATGTTAAATCTGTCACAGCGTTAAAATTGGAATTCCAAAAAAACCCTTCCACTGCAACTGTAATTACAATTTCAATGGACACGCATCTTCTTCGTTGTTTGTAGGTTAAACACTTTGTCGGTGGTTCCGAATCTGAGCACATCGACGCGGTAGCTGGCAATTTCAGAAATCAAGATGGGATTTTGGCATTGATGAAGAAAGAGGAAGTAGGATTTTACCTGCTAGTGTTGATAGTATTTTTGAAGCATTTAATGACATGGTGTATGAAGATTTTGGTTTCGATTCAAAGACTGAGTCAATCAAGCTCAGTTATATGTTACCTATGAAGTCCAAAAGTTTTGCAGGTACGCCACCTATGTTTGTAACGAATGGCCGTCAATTCGAGGCGTATCTCCGACAGTGTTCAAAAGAATCGGTGAGGCTATGTGTCGAAATAATTGGTGGTGGTAACTGTCGAGAAAAGAAAGACAGTACAAGAAAGGGCAAATGTGAGGAGAGTAGGGAAGTGAAGGAGGAAATAGTTATTGAAGACGAGGAGTACTACAACCGGAAGAGGGAGGGGAAAAAACCTGTAGGAGATATGTTCAATCGAAAGTTTGGCTCAACAGAACATTCCGTGGATGAAGCAGAGGAGGTTGAATCAATCATTTCTGAAACAATTCGCGAAGAAGATTTGGAAGATGATGATGAATTTCCCAGATTTGATTATTGTGATGATGAAGACGGAGCGAGCTCAGGAGATGAATACTATGGATTGCATTCACGAGACGAGGAAGAGGAGGAAGATGTAGCTGATAGAGATGAAGTGAAGAGTGAGGCAAAAATGAAGGAATCTCAGAGGAATTGCAAAAGAAATAAAAAATTCTCTTTATCATCAGGTAATTATTGGAATGCGAAGTCTTATCTGAAATTGGAAATGTGTGGTGTGGATCTAGCTGTTGGCAACGGTATGAGTCCAAGGATGCACTAGAGGAAAGATTGAAGATTCTTAGTGTAATCCAAAAGTTCGACTTCGATGTTGATAGATCGAGGCCAGACTTGTATACTGTTAATTGTTGGGTACCCGGCTGCAGTTGGAGAGTACGAGCTTCACCCATAGGAGATTCATGTGTTTTTAATATTCGCATATACAATCGTACCCATACATGTTCAGTCACAGAACGGTCGGCACGTGCTAGGCAAGCGACTCCTGCAATACTAGGACAACTTTACAAGGAATTTGTTGGTGGTGTTGGTGAATCCGTATTGCCATGTCATGTGGCAGAAGCACTTAACCTAAGATATGGAATAAAGGTATGTTAGATAATGAAAAAACATAGATCAATATCATTCACTTTTGGAGGATTGATGTTAAGAAAATATTAACTCTTTATAGGTTGACTATTGGAAGGCACATCTTACACTCTTATTTGCCCGGACTTTGGTGAGAGGAACTTCAGAAAATGGATATGAAGATCTTCCTTCATACTTATACTTGATAAGGAAAGCAAATCCAGGAACTCTAACTAGACTTGCAATTGACGAAGAAGATAGATTTAAGTTTGTCTTCATTGCATTTGGCGCAAGCATTCATGGATTTCAGTTTATGAGAAAAGTTGTAGTTGTGGATGGAACATTTCTGAAAGGGCCATATCTAGGTACGCTTCTACTTGCCACAACACAAGATGGGAATTTCAATATTTTCCCCTTAGCATATGCGGTAGTTGACACGGAGAACGATGTGTCGTGGGAATGGTTCTTTAGACTACTTAGTTGTGTTATTCCTGATGACGAAAGCCTGTCTATTATATCAGATAGACATAAATCAATAGGTAAAGCAATAGGGCGTGTATACCCGCGGTAGTGAGACATATGGACTAGTTAAAAAAGCTGCAAGTGCTTACCGTCTCGTAGATTTTAACGTGTACTTCAATCAGATTAAAGATACGAATCCCGATTTGCATAGCTATTTGGTTAGAGCTGACGTGCGTTTCTGGAGTCGGATACACTTTCCGGGCGATAGGTACAACTTCACAACTAGCAACATTGCAGAGTCTCTAAATAAATTCTTGACTGGTGCCAGAAAGTACCCAATCGTGATGCTACTTGATGAAGTGAGGTTGATGCTGACACGTTGGTATGCTAAAAGGAGGAAAGAAGCGATGTTGATGACAACAACCCTAACAAAAGGTTTAGAAAAACATTTACATGTAAGTAACTTGTGATTTGGATCTATATACTGGTAATACGTTGCACTCACTAACAATATACTTTTCTCTTTATAGGACCGTATTATTAAGGCAAAGTATCTGGCTGTACAAGAGATCGATAGGCATCAATATGAAGTGACCAATGGAGTGTCGACAAACGTGGTGAATTTGACTGCGAAAAGGTGTTCATGTATGATGTTCGATTTAGAGAAAATAGCATGCGTTCATGCTATTGCTGCGCGAGAAAAGGAGGATCTCCCGTTGGTTAATAGAAAATTCCCTTGGTCATTACTCTGTTTTCATTATATTGTACCACGGGTGGTGGTAAGCTCGGGGAAGGTAGAAATTGAGTGCGCCCCGTTAGTTAGTCTTCGCGGAAGAAATACCACTTTTTTCAATTGAGTCCCAGGCGCGGCAGAGCATGCTAAAGTTTCTAGGATTACACTCAACGACAAAAACTACTTGACAGATTTTCTTCGGAGCGGTTATGCAATCTCCATAATGCCAAAGGATGGTTCATCACCTATCCCACAGAGAATCGGTTCGACAGTCTGTAAGCCTCCATTCGTTAGGATCCCACCTGGCAGGCCGAATATTACAAGAATAAAAGGGCAAATGGAGATAGCTATTGATCGAAGCCGACCAAGGAAAGTTCACGTTTGCTCGAAATGTCATTTAGCTGGTCATAATCGAACGACATGTAATTCATAACATGTTTTCTGTTTCAGTACTTCTTCACATGTTTTTGTAAGAAATTACATTTGTACTAGCAAGCTTCATGTGGAGCCATGGCATTGCAGCATCACTTAATCCCTCAAAAGTGAGTCCTAGAGCTAAACACTCTATGTATTTAAAAGAGTAAATGCCACAATCCCCTTCTTGTATGTTTTGAGGGGCAGATTTCACCCTGTAGAAAGAGAATGCGGCTACGCCTAATGTTTTTTTTTTACCTGGTGGAGCCATAGTCTGCAACAAAGCAGGAATCATTCGTGTGTATGGCTTACATGACTCATACACTTCTTCGTCGGTGTAAGCATTCAAGATGTTGTCATATGCTTTTATCCGGCGCCTTTGTAAGTCCACTTCAAGAGCAATCCAGTGGTTGTTGTTGATGTTATGAGCTAAGTATACAAAATCTACATCTTCTACCCATTTTTTGTTAGTAATTCCAAATGAGGGAGATAGGCCAGAATAGACCTTGAAATACTCTTCCGGAAAAAGCCACTTCTTATCACTATCCCACTTCTTGTAATCATGAGCCCATTGATTGACAAACCATGAATCTAAGAAGGCAAGCCTATCAGTGATGAACAGAGTAACTGGTTGCATAGACCGCTTCCGGAGCAATTGCATTGCAGGGCATAAATGCTACAGTTTTGATATATGGTATGTGTTAATTACTCTGTCCTCGTATTCAAATAAAATCCTCAATTATAGTAGGCCCAATTGAACATACCGCATCTTTCAGCCATCCGTAGCACTCATCTCCTACAGGCTATTTCTCTTTAGGTGTCATTATCCTCAAATAGAAGTTAGCTGCACCGTTGCTTGTCTCTAATGGGTTATCCCTATAGTAAATGTAAACAGTAAAGCCTATCAATGACAGAGATTTAACAAACCAAATGTTTTAAAATAAAAGCTTTACTTACAGATCATGTCGAATGAAGGCCACTAGCATATCCACCGACAATTGTGTCGCCTTTTCAAACGGATCGTAAACTGTAGGGGACAGCGTCTTACCCCGCAGTATACGCTTAACCAATGAACTTCCGATGAATGGGTGAACTTGTGTTGAAGCAAGGTTTTTCTGCCTAGGAACCCGGGATACAAAGTCGTCCTTCTTACATAGTCGAAGCAAGTCATCGAGTGCTCCATTTAAAGCCTTGTTCCGTTTATTCTCACTTGAATCAGAACCTTCAGACAGTTCTGCAATATCCACCCCAGGAGTAGTCTTGGTCTTACAAACGGACTGACGGAGTCAAGAGGGTCAATAGGTTCTGTTTTTATGCCTTTCTTCTTGACAGAACTGTGAGGCCTAGTTGATTTCGGTGTCACGGATTTCTGCAAACCAGATTTAGAGTTTGTTGCCGCAGCAGAAAACGGCTCCTTAACACTAGCGTTAACATACTTTGACTGAAAAAGATCATCTTGTCTAAGGCTTGTATTAAATCCTGCTTTAGCCTTAGAAACATGGCTTGGTTTCCGTACGACGCAAGAAATTGGAAACCCTTCTTGAGATGTTTCCTTCATCTGTACAGACCATGACTACAAAAAAATTTATCTTGTAAGACATCGGTAAAATAATATACATGCTTGTAATAAGGATCAGAAAAACAGTGTTGTATACATAACATCAAATGTGTTTCTAGCTTGTTGTTAACCTAAAAGGTCCACAACATTAAACAAATAAATTTAAGGTTCCCAACATAAATTTTTTTTAAAATTCGATCTTCCCACTGCATTATATGGTATAGTAGATTTAAAAAAAAACAAAACACTAACAACAATGAAATACATCTTCAAATACTTCCCACAGTATTCAAATTGTGTTCCCCCACCAACTAAGAAGTTGTCTATACCATAAAAAATCATTTTTCAATATGAAAACTATGAAATATAGATGAACTATATTCATCATTGCCAAACACTAATTAACAATTTCATACCTTGTTCACTGAACCTTCTTCATCACCTTTTTTCTCATTACGGCTTGTCTTCAGCATCCGAACTTCCTTCTCAAGATCTGTAACCTTTTTCTCTATACCTCCCACTGTCTCTGTAAGACCATCAAATCTACCATCGATTTTGGACTGCATTGTATCCATTTTACCAACCAATGCAGTCATCATATTCAAAACTTCACCAACTGACCCTCCACCAGATACTGAATCACCTCCTTTTGATCTCTTTTCACTTTGTTGCTTCTGCTTCTTTGGCGGTGGGTCAACAAAGTCATCTTGCGTCTCCTCAACTACCGCTTTCCTCTTTCCTTTTTTCTTCCCAGGAACCTCTTCCCAAAACTTTCCATCTACACGTCCTAACATGATATCATGCATCAAGTTGTCCAACAATTCCCAAGCACCTTCCCCTTCACCGTAGACAGCTTTCTCGTCAGGCCAATTTGGATAAAGGTCTTCCTCAGATTGCATAACCATATGTTGCACATTCAAATACAAATCAAGTCACAGAAACATGTATTACAACTCAAGATTATTTACATAAACATGTAATAGAAGTCAAAAACCATAGGCATTAAGGTTTTTACCTTCTTATGTAACTTCTTTTCCGTCGCTAAGAAGTCACCAATACAACATCTTGGACGACCCCCTTTCCAGCTTAGAAGAGGCACATTATCTCCCTCAATTGGATTACCATACTTCTGCCCCAAAGCAGATACACTTTCAAATGCCCAAATCAACAAAGCATGAACACAACCATGCACTACATAGGATCCATTCTCATAAGAAACCACTTTGATTGACTTTATTAAGCTCTTAAAACCAACTCGTCCCCATAGATACCTCTCAAAAGCCTCTGAATCAAATACCCTTTTAGCATACTCCAATGGAATCCTACTAGACCTTGATTTCCCCAATATACCAACATTCAACACAAACAACATCCCAAGCATTTTTCGCTTCTCATAGCTCCAACCCCTACATTTTTTTAGCGCCGCATTCAGCTCTTTCCAGTTTGGTCCCTTACTTGCATCTACTTCTAACTCTGCCCAAAATTCGCTGTGATCAACATCCACTTTATCTTTTTCATCTATTGCATCACAGTTTAGGCCGGTAATATCAGAAATTCATAGAGTGAAAACCTGAGAGGATATCCTTCTATCAAACTCCAAATCTCATACCCACTTTCTATCGCCAACTGATTACTCAGAAAGTGATGCACTGTCTTAGAACACCAAACGTACTCACTATCAGCCAACTTCAGTAACACACCTAATTGACTATTGTCACGAATCTCTGCATATGCTATCTCCAATGAAATCCTTCATTATTGCAATACTACTCACAGTGCAGTTGTGGTGCATGCTTCTTGTCTGTATAGGAGATTTCCCTTCTCTATACAGTCGTGGAGGATAATTACTCTTTGGAATACTTGAACTAGACTCCATCTGCAAATAACACATGACAAGAAAATACATACCACATTTAGTACTTCATTACTCTGTTTACACCACATATATCTAACTCTTTCTGCACATTTATCTGCACATTTATCATAATATTTCTCTGTCACTATTAGCTTTCAAACTTACATAACTCTATCATTAGAAGTAGCTGTCACTATACTGTTTAAAGTGTATAATTTTACAAACACCCGCCATATAAAACCCATATCACTTCATATACCTAACAAAATCAGTACACCATCCATTCATTTGAAATATTTTTCCTAAACCTACTAATCAGCGCAATTCTTCTCTTCAAATACCTTCCCTGAACCTTCTATCACCTTCGATTTTGCAAAACCAATCTCATAAACAAACAACTTTTCTAGATATATCAATCTATGAACAAATCGAAGATATAAAACCTTAAGGGTCGCCGGAAATACGAGATTTAAACTGACAGTACCTCTTTCGCCGTTTCTCCGTCACAGTCAATTACTTTACGCGACTTCGATTTCACTACAATGAAACGGGAATTTCACTTCTTTAGCCAAATACAACTAACCCATAGACATTTAAATGCTAACAAACCCTAACATTCCATACCTTCGCCGTTTTTGTTTTCGTCGGAGAGTTTTCGCCGCCCTTCTCAAAATCCACCTTCGCCACAATAAATACGATTACAAATAACAAATCTCTGTCGGACATTTATTAAGAGATATAAATTGTTTCATTTTCATAAATTTTTAATTCAAAATGGCAGTTTTTGTAATTAGCTAACCTAATGGTGGGTCTACTTTTTAAAGCATTTCTAGTAAAGAGTTGGTTCACTAAGCCATTAGAATAATTAGTGGACTTTTTAATGTCATTAGACGTAATTTCCCTTTTATTAATTAGTTTCATTTTCCCTTTAACTTGTGCATAGAATTTGCCCAAAACTATGGAAACTTACAAAAGCATAACTATCTCTAGTCACTTATATATTTTTATAGATCGAAATTAATACAAAGTTTATTATTCATCTCCTTTTCAAGCTTTCTTGGAATGTTTGTTAGCATTGTAAAACCTTCCAATGCCTTTGAAAGCCTTAGATAGCTTTAGAAGGTTCGGCCTCGCAATTCCCAAATGCATCTTCCCTGTTGAGAACTTCAAAGCCTGTAAACAACAAAGTTGTTGATGATCAATCCCATCATCATGATCTTCCTCCTCCACTATTACTTCCTTCTCTATACTCTTTGTCTTCAACATCGACTTTGTCTTCTTCTTGAGCTTCTTCTTCTCTTCTTCAGTTTGATGCTTCTTCTCTGTTTGTGTCTCGTATGTCTCCCACAGCTGATCCATGCCTTGTCCAACGTCAGCATTGTGTCTTTCTTCGAATAGCTTGCAAGCTAATGTCCTCCTCCATTCTTTCTCTTTTCTCATTGATCCAAAGCTTTGGAGAGAAACATTATCTTCTTCTTCCTTCTTAGTTGCTTCATTTCTTTTACCTTCTCCGAGAAACTTGCTCAGTTTTGGGAGATCATAACTTTCATTATTAAAATCTCCGACAAGGTCAACTTTTTGAGCTTTGGATTCTTCTTTTGTCGGCTCTTCTTCATTATCGAGGACAACGTCACTTTCTGGCTTGACTTTTTGTTCCTCTTCTTCTTCCTTTTCACATTTCTTGGTTTCTTCTTCTTTCTCCAAAACAATCACATCCTCAAGCTTCAACGGTTGGATCTCAACTTGCTCCTCACGGGTCTCATCGGTCAAAGCTTCCGACACCGTGCTCTCATGGCTACAGAATTTGTCAACAAACGTCAATTCATCGGAACATATCTCATTATCGGACGCACATTGTATCGAACACGCCTCAACGACCATCTTATACGCTTCCAGGTCTTCCAATGACTTAAAACCCTCATCGTTGATATCAAACTTGTGTTCCAAGACACTACCAAGCTTACTACAAAAGGAGAAAAGGAAGCTTGGTTGTGTTTCTAGTGATTCAGAGTCAAGACAAGTCTCGTGAACATGCAAAGTACTGAGTAAAGCGAGAATCAAGAGTGTGGTGGTGACAAAGAGTGGTGAAAGAAAAGAGAGAATCTTGAAGATGTAAGGTGAGAAGAAGAGCAAGTAAGAAAAATAGAAAGGGTGAGAGAAGATAAATGAGCAAAAGAGATGAAAATCAGAGAGAAGAAGAGAAGATAAACCAATCTTCTTCCTACTTGGAGTACTCTCTTCTTGAGATGACAAGGCAACTTCAGACATGTTTGCAGAAAAAAACCTTAGGGAGAAAAACTAGCCAAGTTTTTTTTTTTTCTGTTGCTCTGCTTTCTGAAGAATGGTGTGGATATAAGAAAGAGATGTGTCCAAAAGAGAGAGAAAGAAACAGTGACAAGAAAAAAAAGAAAGCAACTTTTGAAAGTTACCTTTCTTTTCACCTGTTTGGCCATTTCAATAACCACCACCACCATCCATTGCCTTTTTCTTTTCCTCAGTCTAATTGTTCCTTACCTTGACCCCAAAAAAAAACCATAAACAAAACAATTACAACAATTTGCAGTGAGTGAGAATTGTGGTCAAGTCCTAAGAAACATAGATCATCAAAGTTTTGAGCACAGTTCAATTGATAATGTCATATGCAACTATGTAAGAGCCTAACCAAACTGTCCTAATTCATGTTATGAGTGTACTAACAACATTCAATTATCTTATCCTTAAACACACCTACAATCACGGAGCTAGTTAGTTCATACTAATAACTCAAACCAAAGAGAGTAGTCTTAGTGGTTGCATATGGGAAAAAACATAATGGGTACTCAAGTGCAGTTCATTATTAGTTCTTTTGTCTCTTCACTTTTTCTTTTCTACTTCTTCTAAATGGACCCATAATGGTTCTTCTTTTTTCAATCTCTTTTGTCCTTAAAAACTTACTTTTTACTAGCCTAGAGGGTATCTTGAGAAGACTTGGTTCCAACTTTTTTCTTTTTATCTTTCTCTCTCCAATTATCCACTGGGATCACAATTTGGTAAAAGCAAAATGGGTAGAGAGAGTGAGTGAAACTGAAGCAATATTGGAATATCTCATGGTCTCAACACTACAAAAAAGTCCTCATTGATAGCATACCGTAATAGCACGGTTTACCAAACTGCTATTGAAGATGTTATGTAATTATGGTTGTTATATGATAGCATTTCATAAACGCTAAGATAGAACTTCAATGAGCGGGAACCCAAAATCCCTAATTCCGCCAAACACTTAGTCAGAATTCCCAAAAAACACTTAAGCCAAAAGACGCGTTTTCCCTCTTTCTCGAAAACCCTAAGACAGAACTCTATCAGACATAACTCTCTTTGACCGACGAATTGACTCTCCCAATTGCCGATTAAGCCCTCTGCCGCCGCCGTTGAAGGTCGCCGTGAAACTGAACCTGACGCCGGCACTAATTCCGCCTTAGATCTGTCGGATTTGAGCTCAAATCGAAGGCATGTCCTTTATTCAATTGATTTTTTCTTCTTTTTCGGATTTTTTCTAGGTCTGTTTCTTTCAAATCTAGCTCACGTCTGATGTTCTAGGTAGCTCAAATCTAGCTCAAGTCTGATGTTATAGGTAGCTCAAATCTAGGTCAGTCTAATCGATTCTTGTTTTGCATGCCTCTGTTATTTGCGATTTCAGAACGATTTCATAACATTATTGTTTTTGTGGTTTGATTTAGGCGTATTTGAACAAAATTTCTTTAAAAACTTGGATATGTGCTATGTAATTCAGATCTTCTTTTCGTTATTGTCAGATAGAAATTGTTAATTCAATACCTTAATAATCTGTTTTTGCTATGTTGGATTCCGCCTTACTTGTGTTTACCCTAAACAAAACCAAACATCATAACTGGCATGTTCACTTGTGTTTCTTCAGACATCATAACTTGTGTTTCTTCTGACATCATAACTTGTATCTGATTTTTTAGTACTTTGAAAAAGAAACAAGAACTGAGCAGTGAATTGCGGGGACCAGTAACAGGATTAAATTGCATGTTCACTAAACTCATACTATTTTTCTGTGTTTGGTCCCATCTTCTTACTCTAGTGTTTGTCCTTTTTCCAGTTTTGTTTCTTACTGAGATTGTGTTTATCTCTTTCGTTTGATTGGCTAATTTATCAGGTTTAAAGTTCAGATTTTTTTTTTGTATTCTACCTTGTTTGTTGTCTGAATCTTGTTTTTATTGTTAGATCGATTAAGTTATTTTTTTTAGTCAAACTTTCAGTGATTCACTTTCTTGCATAACCTTATACTCACTCTATAATTTTGTTTTGCAAGTTTTGCTGAGTGAAATAATGGGACTTTGAAGCTTATCATTTGCTCTTATCATCACAAGACAGGTTAGTACCATCTTCTCTTACATGAGTTTGATTGTTTACCATGTTTTTTTGATTATAATACATTACTGTGAATGTCTTGTTGTGTATGCTACTATATATGAGGACAGGTTAGTACCGTATTTCTTGTTTCTAGCATATGAGTTTGATTGATTACAGTGTTTCTTGTTTTCAGTTTTATTTGTTTTAAATATGCTACTAAAGTTGAGTTACTGCACTTATCTTGTCTGATATTAAATTATTGAGATTTAAAACACTTAATCTAGTACATTACTGTTGATGTCTTGTTGGTTATGTTACTATATATGAGGACAGGTTAGTACCATGTTTCTAGTTTCTTTTATATGGTTTTTGATTGATAACCATGCTTTTTGTTTTAAGTTTAATTTGTCTTAAATATGCTACTATAACTGAGTTAGTGTACTTATATAATCTGATATTGAACTATTGAGATTGCTTTGATTGAATATTATATATGTATGAGTTATTTGTTTACTGGTCTGAATATATTTTGAGTTAATTGCTTATGGTATTAAAGGTTTATATTACGGTATCAACATATAATGTTGGACAAGGATTGGGTGCATCTTGGCAGGTAAGGACTTTAATTATATAGGTTAGGTTTCAGTAGGGGTTTCAGAGACTTTACTTCTTCTTTTTTTCCCCTTTTATTCTGCAATGAAGAGCTGATCCTGCTTATGAGAGAGGGGCTACAAAGTTTGTACGGGCTGTGGCTGCAGCTTTGGGAGACGTCGATATGATTATATGTCCTTGCATTGATTGTCGTAATATAGATCGCCACCTAGGTAGTGTAGTTGTTGATCATCTTGTAACAAGGGGAATGGATGAAGCTTATAAGATGCGGTGTGACTGGTATCATCATGGAGAATTGAATGCAGTGGCTGAAAGTGAAAGCAAACTAAGTCACTGGAATGACGAGGTATTTGAGTTATATCAAGCTGCTGAGTATTTGGATGAAGAGTTTGCAGAAAAGCTTGACTTGGCTGAGATTGCAGAGGGTGATGACAAGAAAGAAGATGAGTTTCTTGCAAAGCTTGTAGATGTTGAAACTCCTTTATATCCAAGTTGTGTGAACCATAGCAAGCTGTCAGCTATTGTGTCTTTGTTTAGACTTAAGACACAAAATGGATGGTCTGACAAGAGCTTCAATGATCTTCTAGAGACATTGCCGGAGATGTTACCAGAGGGGTGTGTGCTACACACATCATTGTATGAGGTGAAGAAGTTTTTGAAATCTTTTGATATGGGTTATCAAAAGATTCATGCTTGCGTTAATGACTGCTGCCTATTCAGAAAAAAGTACAAAAAGCTTGAGAATTGTCCTAAATGCAATGCTTCAAGATGGAAGACTAACTTGCACACTGGTGAAGTAAAGAAAGGTGTCCCATAGAAAGTATTACGGTACTTTCCGATAATCCCACGCCTTAAGAGAATGTTTAGGTCTGAGGAAATGGCTAAAGATTTAAGGTGGCATTTTAGCAACAAAAGCAGCGATGGAAAACTCCGTCACCCTGTAGATTCAGTAACATGGGATCAGATGAATGCCAAATACCCTTCATTTGCAGCCGAGGAAAGGAACTTGAGGCTTGGACTTTCCACAGATGGATTTAATCCATTCAACATGAAGAATACCATGTATAGTTGCTGGCCCGTTTTGCTAGTAAACTACAATTTGCCTCCAGACTTATGCATGAAGAAGGAGAACATCATGTTGACATTGTTGATTCCTGGTCCACAACAGCCCGGTAATAGTATTGACGTCTACTTGGAACCACTTATAGAGGATCTATGCCATCTGTGGGATAATGGGGAGTTGACTTATGATGCTTTTAGTAAGTCAACATTTACTCTTAAGGCAATGCTGCTTTGGACAATTAGTGATTTTCCCGCGTACGGGAATCTTGCTGGCTGCAAAGTAAAGGGTAAAATGGGTTGTCCTTTATGTGGAAAAAATACAGATAGCATGTGGTTGAAATTCAGCAGAAAACATGTCTTTATGTGCCATAGAAAGGGTCTGCCCCCAACACATAGTTTTAGAGGGAAGAAGTCATGGTTTGATGGAAAAGCTGAACATGGGAGGAAGAGGAGAATATTAAGTGGCCAGGAGATTTATCAAAACCTGAAAAACTTTAAAAATAGCTTTGGGAACTTGAAACAACATGCAAGTAAGAGAAAACGTGTTGAATGTACTGGATCAAGTTCTGATAGTGATGATCTATCTAGTGAGTCAGAGGAGGATGAAGAGGAAGAGGTAACAGTAGATGAGGAGGAGTTATCAAGATGGAAGAAAAGGTCAATCTTTTTCAAGCTATCTTATTGGCAGGTGTGTCCTTTTTTCATGTTATCCTAGTATTGTCTTGGATTTAAACAAGTAAACTTTGTGTAACAGTTTTGTTATTTTTTGCATTCTGGTTATAGGAACTCCCGGTTAGACATAACTTAGATGTCATGCATGTGGAGAGAAATGTGGCTGCGAGTATTATATCGACATTGTTGCATTGTGGGAAATCCAAAGATGGTCTAAATGCTCGCAAAGATCTGGAGGAGCTTGGTATTAGAAAGGATTTGCACCCTAAAATCAAAGGAAAAAGAACATATCTTCCCGCAGCACTTTGGTCTCTGTCCAAGACAGAGAAGAAGATTTTCTGTAAGCGGCTATTTGACTTCAAAGGCCCAGATGGGTACTGTTCAAACATATCAAGAGGCGTCTCATTAGATGACTGTAAGGTTACAGGTCTGAAATCACACGATTATCACGTGTTAATGCAACAACTTCTTCCGATTGCACTTAGAGGGTTGTTACCTAAAGGTCCTAGGGTAGCAATTGTGCGCTTATGCACATTTTTCAATCACTTGTGTCAGCGAGTAATTGATATGGAGCAGCTTTTGGCAATGGAAGCTGAGATTGTTGAAACCCTTTGCTTGTTTGAAAGATTCTTCCGCCAAGTTTCTTTGATATCATGGTGCACTTGACAGTACATTTAGGCAGAGAAGCTCGGTTAGGTGGACCAGTTCATTTCAGATGGATGTACCCGTTTGAAAGGTATATGAAAGTTCTGAAGGATTTTGTGAGGAACACTGCAAGACCTGAAGGGTGTATTGCTGAGTGTTATCTAGCTGAAGAATGCATCCAGTTTTGTAGTGAATTTTTGAAGAAGACAACCAATGTTAAGGAAAGTGTAGATAGAAACACTGAGTATGAAAACAACACTATACTTGAGGGGCGTCCAATCTCTGCAGGCATCTCACTTAATCTTACTGAAATGGAGAAAAAAATAGCCCACATGGCTGTCATCCAGAATATGGCTGTCGTGGAGCCTTATGTAGAGTAAGTTCCACATTTTGCTAGTTCATTCATTAATTATATTTAGGATAAATGTCTGATTATTTCTTTTTCACTTTTTCTTTTAACAGTGAGCACCTACAGCATCTACAAGACTCCAATGGAAGATGCAGACGTGATGCATCACTGTTATGGAGTATGCGATTAACATGTGCACCATTGAGACCTGCGATTAACATGTGCACCATTGAGAAAGCTGTTGGACATATGGTGGCCTGGCCATCTAGTTTGTGTGTTAATCTAGAAGAGGAGCTCCAACCAGAAGACATTGCAACCCTGGTAAACTTTATCACTCATTCTCATACTCATACATAGAAAGTATATGTTAACACTGGTTGAATGTGTTTGACAGGGATCAAGACCTAATTCTGTGAACAAGTGCAAGCTACTGGATTTGTCTTCATATGATGTTGTTGTTGCAGAAGGACGTTGGCAGACACAAGATGCCAATGCATTAGTTAATGGGCTTTCTCTCGGACCAGCAGCAGTGAAAATATTTGTGGATGCAGTGATTCAACCTGAGACATTTATATGGAGGCCAACGATTGATGTCATGTACCTTGAGGACTGTTTACAGTCTTTTGTAGCTTGGCCTGCCAACAAAGTTGTCTTTGAAAACCATGCAGATGCAACATGTCAGAAGTCTCCACTTCATCAGGCTTCTGCATCAACTCATCAAACAACAACAGAAAAGGCAGCAGCATCAGGAGGAAAAGCACCATCATCAGGTCCACTAAATGCAGCAGCTGGTTATAAGTCTTCTGTTGAGATATCAAAATCCGCAGCCACAACAAAGGAACAAAATCCGCAGCCACAGTTTCAAAATCTCTTGTTGAGAAGTCTCCAGCAACATGTTCAAAGCCTCCTGTAAAGAAAAGTCAGTTAGCTTCACACTCCCCTCTACGAAGATCTCCGGTAAATTTAGCAGATGTTGTTACTTACTGATTCTGGTTATTATTATACATGAATTAAACCTGTTTATATTGTAATATGGCAGCGTAAAACTGGAGCTGAAGTTATCAAGGCTAATCAGAAGTGCAAGTTAATGGATATTAGTGGAAAGAGGCGGGTGGTTGGTGAAGGACGTGTGCATTCAATCGACCCAGACCAAAAGGTACACCATGTTCGCTTGGGGGCAAATGCAGCTAGAGTTTGGGTAGATGTAGTGAAGATAGATGATGCAGCAGTTTGGAGGCCATCAGATGAAATCGAGTATATGAGAGATTCACTTGGTTCATCTATTGCATGGCCAATGGATAAGTTGGTCATCTATTGAGTAGATGAAGAAACTGGGGTAAGTTTTGTAATTACTGTGATGCTTGTGTTTTGCTTTTATATCTGCTACTGATATGAGACTTTGTTGATTGTTGCAGGGAATGAAGAAACTTTGGTCCAGATTAGGTAGTTTTAATTAGTTTAAGACTAGACTAATCAGCTTCTGTTATGTACTTTGGAATCAGACTTGTTATGTCTTTTGGATTTAGACTTTTGTTATGTTGAATGATTCTGTATAACTTTCTAACTTTTGAATTGGAATCAGACTTATGTTACAATTTATATTCAGACTTATGTTTTCATGTTTATATTATGCAAAACAGGTATAGAATCAAAATATATAGCTCTCTGAAAATATATATAATAGCAAAATTAAAAGCCATAATTAAATTAAGTATAGCAATTCTTCACTGTCATTGTAGAAAATCAGATATTATACCACAAAACATGAAGCTACGAAAACAAATTAAACAGCAAGAACAAATTGCTAACGTAGAAGAACCTATTATAGCACAAAATTTGAATTGTCGTTACTTTTTAACAAAAATTTCAGCTGCTATATTAAAATAAATAACAGCAGTTAAATAAAGCTATTGTATCTAAAACTATCATAGCATATCAAAATAATGCTATCGTAGGGGAAACACCTACCATAGCTGCCGATGTCACAGCATTTGTGATTTCGCTATCAATAACGTAAGATAGCAGATGGTTTGCGCTATCAATGAACGTTTTTCTTGTAGTGCAATGAGATACTACAGTGAAAAGATTCTTGTTTTAGTTTTCATCCTCTACTATACATACATGTCATATTACACCAAATAAATAGCATTTGCTTAGTACTTTTTACTTGGATATAAAAGAATCATTTGCACTCGGAAGACTCATACTATGGTTCCTTTGCACAAGGAACTACAACGGTAAATAAAAAAGAGATACAAGTGAAGTCTTGCAAATAATATATGTCTAAACTCTTGTTCTCGTGGTCGGGATCCGTTGCAGCCATTGTGGGAGAACAAACAGGGATAGGGGTATTTCTTCTTCGATGTATTTCGCATAAATCGGGCATCTTATCGGAATTTGACTGGCGGTGTTACATTGCAACTCAATGTGGGGCATAACCGTCCCATTGCGTAACTTAATAGATTGCACATTCCATTCAACAAAAATCAATTCATATTATTCCATTAATTTTATATGTTTGCTCGTGGTAATTGTGAACTCTCGGGAGAATCGATGACTGCATCAAAGATGCACTTGTTAGTACAAAAAAAAAAAATTCGATTTTACGGGATTTAACCAAACTGAACCTAAACCGAAAACTTAATAAAAATGACAACCAATGCGTTCTTAGGTTAATCCATAACCGAACCTAATCATTTATTTTGGTTCGGTTCAGTTTGGATTTTCGAATTTCGGTTTTTTTGGCCACCTATAAGAAAATCTCCTAAAAGGCTAAAAGCCTAAAACATGAAGGGCCAAATATCTATATTTAAACATTGGGGGAACAAAATGAAATATAAAAGAATCTTGCAGAGTAATTTATTAATTATGTAAGAGTTATGATCGGGTTCGAGTTAGGGTTCAATCTCGGGTTTAGATCAACCCGATTCACAACACCGCATTGAAATTGGAGTCTCTCAAGTTCCGTGGCGTCAAAAATGGCGTCAGGTGATCGGAAATCCCCAGAACAAACGAATCAACCGTTGTCTCCTCCAACGCCGATTGTGCAAGAAACCGGAACTCCGACGAAGCGTGTGTTGATCACTTCCCTTTTAGCAGGTTTCGCAAAGCTTCTTCTCTCTTTGAGGGTTTATTGTTACATTTTGTTCATCGCAAGACTTAGATACTATATAATGTGTTTCTGAGTTCATGTTCTTGTAAATCGATTCTGCGTAAATAGAACCAATCAGATTCTCGTTGTTGTTCTATAGCTTAGTTATTGGAGACCACATCATTAGTAAATAGAACATGTAAGACATGTAGCATTAGCATAAGTTCATATTATGGAGAATCCACTAGTTTTATGCTAATGAAGATGACGAATTTTGGCTTGGATTGACTAACTTATTGCGTAGAACATGTAAGAAATGTTGCATCGCGTTGTCTGAGAAGATGTTTAATGTGCAGGAGTAATTGGTGGAGGAGCTGGTTTAGTGTCGAAACACCGGATAGCTCATCCCAATATACCTACTGTTTACGCTACTAATTGTGCTATTGTCGCTGGTTGCTATTGCGGTATGTAATTTTCTTATGTTCCTTTAATCGCAACTAATTCTGTTATAGTGTTGCCTGCTTTTTTCCATTGTGTGATTGTCGCAATCTTTTTTTTTTTTGTTTTTGGTAGGAGCTCGTGAATCTGTGAGAATAACTCGAAGATCAGAACACGATGATTTAATGAACTCAGCTATTGGAGGACTTTTCAGTGGTGCTTTGCTTGGACGACTTCAAGGTTCGTTATCTTGAATTTTTCTGGCAGTATCTATTATACTGTCTTACTCATTCTTTATGAAACTCTTATGTCCCTGAAGATTTGGCTGTGTTAATACTCTCAAGTCTCAAGTCTCAAGTAGTCTGACCATGAGAGTGTGCTATTTGCTGTTACAATAAGAGATCACATCATAATAGCTCTGCCATCTGAATCAACTGGAATGAATCTTTCATGATTGTCTCTTTAGGTTATTAAGCTCGGAACTGACATATTATCGGTGTTTACAGGAGGTCCTCAGGGTGCGATTCGCTACTCTCTAGTTTTTGCTGCTGTAGGCACAGCATTTGATTATGCTTCCCTTAAAGCAAAACCAATGTTAGAGAGCTACCGTAACATGGAGTCATTCAAGTTACCTGAATGGTCTCCTATTAAAGTCCTCGACGAAGAAGCCTTAGCAAAGAAGAAAGCTCAGGAAGAGAAAATATTCCCCGAAAGAGTGCTCGGCAAATTAAACAAGGAATAGTCTTGACCAACTTAGATTATTTCCTTGTTTTTCCCCCATAAATTACTGAGGTTTGCATTTTCTTTCTGGGTTTGTTGTTTCGTGAAAGTAATTCCAGACCTTTTGGATGAGACTTGAGGAGGATTTTGGTTTTTCGAGTTTCCTCAAGGTAAAATTTTTCTTGAGACATAAGAAAACATCTTTGTATGTTGACCTACCATAAAGCGTATATATTCATGGTTTATTATGGGCATACTAAAAGTTCGAGAATTAGAAGACTTCTGGCTTACCATTGTCGAATTATAACGTACATTTCTGAATTTGAGCTCTGGTTATTATAATGCTTCTTGCTTTAATTAGTCTTGCACCTATATGAATTTTTGATATTTTTCTTTGATTACATCAGTAATCTGGATTAAGTCCGACTAATTTGATGGGAAAACCAACCCATCGTTAGACATATCCATCATATAAAAAACCCCAAACCGGGTCAAAGCCAAAAACACGAAGAACCTACCTGCAATTCTTCGATACAAGAATCAAACTTCGAGTTTTGCGTGTTTACGGCATGAGACCCTATCTCCAAACATTTTTGTTGGTATCAATGTTAAGTTTTTATACTATTTTCGTTTTGATACAAATAGCGGTAAACACTGAAAAACTATAATGAGAAAGGAAAAGAACAAGACAGGACAACAAGTAGACACTAATTCGAACAAAACTAGGTAAGAAACGACGAGATGGAAAAGAACCACCACAATGAAAAACAATTGTAGAACGCAACATAAACTCAAAATTGCATATGTCCAAACTTTTTTTTAGAAACTACTACATTTGCAATTTATGGGTTTCTTCTAGACTATACTTGTTGTTTAGTTAACGTTCTAGACTCTACCAATTGATTTATATATTTAAAATCGTGTGATATTGGTTGAATCGTCCGACATAGTTGGTGTATAGTGGTTTAGAAATAGATACTAAAATGTGTGAGTTGTTATGAATTATACACTATTACTGATGCGTAATAGAATGAGCAAAAAAAAATCTCAACAACAACACAACACATGTGGCGAAGAAAAAGTCTTCACTCTTCAAAAATTTACAAAATCAAAGTCACGTGATTAAACCGAGAAGACAGGGAAGACACGTGCTTTGGCTATATTACAAAAACAGAGCACCACAACAACACAAGCCAGGCTTTTTCACATTCGTCTTTGACAATTGTCCAACAATGGCTTTAAATGGCAAACTCGTAATTTCAGACTCCACCAAGTGGCAATTTTAAAAGTCTTGCTTTCATTGTTTTGTCTTTCTTCTTCTTCACCTCGGACCCATCGGAGAGATACTTACTACAGATTCATTTCCGAAATTAAAAAACCGAACTTTCTCGTGTCTTCTCTCACAATCTCTCTGTTCCATTTTCCTCAATTTCGAAAGATGTTGAAGCTTTCGTGTAATGTGACTGATTCTAAGTTACAGAGAAGCTTATTGTTCTTCTCGCATTCTCATCGATCTGATCCGGTGAATTTCATTCGTCGGAGAATCGTCTCTTGTTCTCAGACGAAGAAGACGGGTTTGGTTCCTTTGCGTGCGGTTGTATCTACTGATCAAGGAACTGTGATTCAAGGTTTGGGTACGCTCGCGGATCAGCTCCGATTAGGTAGTTTGACGGAAGATGGTTTATCTTATAAAGAGAAGTTTGTTGTTAGATCTTACGAAGTTGGAAGTAACAAAACCGCTACCATTGAAACCATTGCTAATCTTTTACAGGTCAGATTTGAGTCTTTGTGTGTGTGTTTTGTTGTAAAGCTTTGATCTTGATGATTGGTTTTGTTGTTGTCTTTTAATCATCAATTCGTTATGCAAAGTATGAATCTTTTTGGTGAATTTGTTGTGTAGGAGGTGGGATGTAATCATGCACAAAGTGTTGGATTTTCGACTGATGGATTTGCAACAACACCAACTATGAGGAAATTGCATCTCATTTGGGTTACTGCAAGAATGCACATTGAGATCTACAAATACCCTGCTTGGTATTTTGTTTATCTATTTGTTGTGTGTTTGACAATAGCGAGGAGGAAATTTTGAATCTTTTAGCTTCTTTGTTTGGTTACTACAGGGGTGATGTGGTTGAGATAGAGACATGGTGTCAGAGTGAAGGAAGGATTGGGACAAGGCGTGATTGGATTCTTAAGGATTGTGTTACTGGTGAAGTCACTGGCCGTGCTACAAGGTAGGAGAAAATTAGCAAAGTTTTGGACTTTGCAGTGTTGCTTTCTGTATTGGTTAGGGACCTTCTGTTTAGTATTTGTGCCATGGACTTATATTAGACATGGATATTGGAGTTCGTTACATGTTTTGTGTTAGGAAATACGTTGCGGTAACTTGGATTTATTAGCCTGTTCTGATTTCTTGTGTGACATTTGTGTTATGGTCTCAGCAAGTGGGTGATGATGAACCAAGACACAAGACGGCTTCAGAAAGTTTCTGATGATGTTCGGGACGAGTACTTGGTCTTCTGTCCTCAAGAACTAAGGTAAAGGACACTTTAGTACCAGGGCAAAGCTTGCTGGTCAATGAATGAATGCTAACTATTTTTTCTATGTATCTTATAGATTAGCATTTCCGGAAGAGAATAACAGAAGCTTGAAGAAAATCCCGAAACTCGAAGATCCGGCTCAGTATTCAATGATTGGGCTTAAGGTACAAACATTAGTATTATAGGACTCTTTCTCCAACTTTAGGCTTCAAAATTCCTTAAGGCTTTGTGATCATGTTTTTGCAGCCTAGACGAGCTGATCTCGACATGAACCAGCATGTCAATAATGTCACCTATATTGGATGGGTTCTCGAGGTAAGTCACTAGGTTTACAAGAAAAGCTCAATGTGCTTAAATGGGAACTTTAGTAATCATATGATCTTGTTTCCTGGTAATGACAGAGCATACCACAAGAAATTGTAGACACGCACGAGCTTCAGGTCATAACTCTGGATTACAGAAGAGAATGTCAACAAGACGATGTGGTGGATTCGCTTACCACTTCTGAAATTGGTGGAACCAATGGCTCTGCCACGTCTGGCAAACAGGGCCACAACGATAGCCAGTTCTTGCACCTCCTGAGGTTGTCTGGAGATGGTCAGGAGATCAACCGCGGGACAACCCTGTGGAGAAAGAAGCCGTCAAGATAAGAAATAGACAATCTCTTAAGCCATTTTGTTCTCAAGTTTCCATCATCTCAACGAAGATTTCGCTTCACGAGTCTGAGCTGGTCTCATTTTTTTCTCTTTCAAATTTGGGTTAGAATAGAGGGAACCAGATTGTTGGAGTAATCTTTGTTGAACTTGATTATGTTTGTTCATGTTTTTGTACAAATTTTGGGGATTTAGCCAAACCCATATCGTCTTTGGTCTTGTCTTGTGCCTGCGTGTATTTCTAATTTATCCTTTCCAAACACAAACATTGTTCACCAGATGTTTTATATAAACAGAGTTTCTTTGACATCAGATACCTCAAGAGGTAAGAGTTGTTGGAAACTTTAGTCCAGTTAACACCAAAAGAGTCAAGGACCTTTCACATAAAACTCTATGGTTATTTGATTAAACAAGTTACATGATTGATAACAGATTCTGCCTATTACACAGGCTCGTAAAAAATGAAAACAGTGAGATAAAAACTGAAAACTGTAAAAGAAAACACATTGAATCGAAGAACGATAAGATATCATGAGTCCTTCCTATTCCTATGTCAGAGCTTCTCAGTTAATCTAATCATGAAAGAGTTAACTGCAGAAGCATCCAAGACAATCCATGAAGACTCGAAAAGCTCGTGAAAGTAATCAGCTCTACTTTCTTGAGCTGCCTTTCTGAAAGCATTGCCAAAAGCGTTCCCTCTGACTGCCCCGAGCCTCGGTTTCCCACAAACTCCAACCACGAGTAACTTCCCAGGTTGTTGAGATGCACAGGCACAAAGCATCGGTTTCATCCTAGCTCCTTTCTCTCTCAAAGCATCCATTAGAAAGTAACAAAATTTTGTTAAGGCCTGAGGATATCCCAAATACTTAGCATCCATGGAATCTTCAATCTTTACCCATCTGAATTTCCTACCACTTCGGATGCATCCAGTTTTGGTGATTGCTGCACTTCCTTGTCTAAGAATTGCTCGTTGAACCTTGATTGCTTGTTGCATCCCAGACCGAAGTTTATCCAAATTGTTCAAAGACAGAGCATCATAAGCTTCGCCAAACTGTTTTGAAGCAGAGGAGCCACCTGATCCAAGAAATGATTCAAGAAGTGCTGTAATACCATACACAACATCTGCAGCAGAGACCCTTGAGCTATAACCATGAAGCCTCAAGAAACTCCGGTAGTAGAAATCATTAAGCCCATATTCTGGCAAAAACCGATCAAACTCTTGCTTCATTTTCCTTTTCACCTCATGGCTCATGTATGGAAACTTTTGCTGGCACTCGATAAGCGCAAATCCCATACGTGCTAGAAGAAGCTTAAGTTTCTTGATGCCGTTATCGCTCCATGTCTTCAACTTAGTCGCAATGTATGAAGAACAAAGCATAGAGTCAAACAACGTCCACTCCCTGAGAAGCATAAGCCTAGGCTCTTCTTCATAAGAGATTCTCGAACAGTCAGGTGCTCGAACCTTGGTTCCATCTTTCAAAGTAACAGAAGTGATCTTATCTATATTCCCTGAGCTATTGATGTGTTGTTCAAGCTCCATAACCGCAGCTTGGTATCTTTCATCAGTCAACCTCTCATGAACAAACTGATCAGTCAAAGCAACACAAGCCAGCCACAGCAACTCATTTGTGTTCTTCCTCAACATATGAGATAGCTCAAACAACAAACATCCCGATGGCTTCCCATGAAAAGTCCCCATCTTGTAATAATCCCTCTTTAACTTCTTGAAAACCTTCACACCATCTCCCATTTTTCTCCTCTTACTTGGCCTATCACCATCTCCATCATCATCATCATCATCCTCATCTTCCTCTTCCTCATCTTCTTCCTCCTCCTCCTCCTCATCAGATTCACCCCCTTCTTCTACATGTAACTGAAAGCTCTCGTTCGCCAATTTCAACACATCGAAATCATAAGCCAAATCAGCTTGTCTCTCATCATCATCAGTATGAAGAACAACAACTTGCTCATTATAATCACTAAGATTATGCAAATGAATAGGCCTATGACTATCAACAACAAAAACACGAGCCGCGGGACCTAACTTCAACACGAGCTTCAAATCACGGTGACAACCCCAATTAATCAACAGTATAGTAACAGGAGGAGACTCAGACGAAGTAGAACACAAACCAGCAGGACCAGCATACTTGTGAATCTCCAAAAAAGACGATACAGGGAAACAAGAATACTGAATCGAATCTGATTCGAGGATATGAGTAATAACCTTAAGCGCACAAAGTGAATCAACATCAGATGTTGAAGGAAATATCAAAAGTGGATTCTGTGAAGATAATGAAGTAGCTGACTCACGAAGCTTCGCGTAGAACGATTCTACTTTCTGAATCCTCACCATATCCGTGAAATTGAAGTAACCCAGAACGGAGAATTTGTAGATCCAGATGTGAAAAATCAAATCCCTAATAAGAACCCTAGAAATGGCGGACGATTCTATCGAAGCAGTGCCCAGAAATTATCTAACGGAGACCATTAATTTTTCACCAGATTTGACGCCAGAATAGGATTGAGACCAGAAATCAAATCAACAGCCAAAGTACCTGAGATTTGGGTTCTTCTGGGTAGCTTTAAAGTCAGGAACTTTGGATTGGTTTCTCTCTTCTTCGGCTTCTTGACGAAGATTACAGGAAGCAAATGGAACAAAGAGAGAGAGCGAAGAAGAGAGCGAGGAAGAAGAGAAGAAGAAGAGAGATAGAGAGAGAGTGTGTTCTGTGGAAGGTCAAGATCTGAAGGTAATTTGATTTCTCTCTTGTGGTAATGAAAATTTGAAAGCTTTCTCATTTTCGGGTTTGAGTATTTGCCGGCGAAATCTTGAAATTTCGAAATTTTTTTGATCGACCGCCAAAAAGTTTTGACGATGGCGCTGAACCTGAAAATGAGGAACAGAGGAAAGGATCTTGTGTAACGCAGCACATGAGGATGAGTGAATCTGGACCGTGCATTTATTCAACTTGTATAAATAATCGACGGTCGATAACTTTTGTTCTTAATCCCAGTCAAAAAGTCAAATAAACAATCAACCAGCTGTGTAATTATCTTTTTTTTTTGTCATCTGATGGATTATATTAATCTCAAAGGATAATAGAAGTTTACAAAAGCTATTGAGATATAGCAAAAGAGAACTGCTACACTAAGCATCTTAATGGGAAGGGCCTTTACAAAAAATTATTCTCAACAAAGAGCAGCAATAGGAGCAATACCAAAAGCATAGACAGAGGATTACACTCTCTCATTTTCGAACAAAGTATTGAGCCAAAACGGATGCCACGAAGCTACATAGGACTGCAGCCTGCACTCCGAGGTTACACTTTTCGCGATGAGACTAGCTCCTCTGTTTGCTGATGAAGAATCCACCACCAATCTCCAATCCTGAAATAGCCCCAGGGCTCTCCAAATTTCACCTGCATGATATCTGAAGGAAGGCCAAGCATTTGGTCTCAGAACTGCACCAACTAACTCCGACTCCTCACACGCAAAAATAACCTGGTTTAAGTGGTGGCTATTGATGCTTTCAATCGCCCAAATCAGACAGAGTAATTTGGCCTCATCCTTAACGATGACGTTTGAAAAAGCTCTTCGGCTGTGAAGCAAAACATTACCATGTTCATCCCTTAAAACCCAAGCACCGCCTGCCAAAGAATTTCTTCTCGACCAAGCAACACCTACATTACATTTCAACCAACCCTGGGAGGGGGCAGTCCAAGCAATTACACTCTCCACAGAAACTGCAGATGCAAAAGTCTCTTCTTCCTGACTTGTGGACATAGAAGAGTCCTCTCTTTGAACAATCTGGGCCAGAAACCATTCCTGCACATCAGATTTAATTTTCTGAACAGATTCTAAAACTGTGAATTTTTTTCCTTCAAAGAAAAAGAGGTTCCTGTTTTTCCAGATTCTCCAAATGATCCAAGGAAAACTTTTCCTTAACTCACTTGGCCATTTTTTGTTGTCTCTGTTAATGAGGAAATGGTGAATGAGAGAAAAGAGAGACCCCGAGTGCATCCCAAAGTCTGGCATTGGGTAATCCGACAAAGCCCAAATCTGTCTCGATAAAGTGCAAGTAAAAATAGCGTGCTCAATAGATTCTCCTTCAAGACCGCAAGACTGGCATCTAATGTCCACTTTTATACCTCTATGAGAGAGTAAGTCAGCAACAGGGAGAGCTCCACTAAGCATTTTCCACAAGAACACCTTGATCTTTGGATCGGTTGATAACTTCCAAACCTGTTCCTTAAGGGGATTTAAGGAAGGCTGAACTCCTGCCACATGAATAAGCGAATTCTCATTGGACTCAACCGCAAGCCAATAAGCAGACTTAACCGTAAAATCCCCACTCTTGTCGTGTTTCCAAACCCAAAAGTCATCCACAGAAACAACAGGCTTCACTGCCTTTATTTTCCTAACATCATCAGGGAAAAAATGTTCCTCAAGCTTGTCAATATTCCAGTCTCTCCTAGCAAAGTCAATCAGATCTTTTACCTTTAGGCCTGGATCAATGAAATCATTCTTAATCCAGGGAGCTCTGAGGCCATCATTATCATCAAGCCATCTATCAACCCAAAAAAAAAGAGAGTCGCCATTCCCCACCTTTTTCATAAGACCCTTACACAGCAACTCTCTCCCATGGAGAATACTTTTCCAGCCAAAAGAAGGTCTCTGTCCAAGGCAAGCTTCCAAAAAACTGCAGTCTGGAAAGTATCTACTCTTCATAACCTTAGAGAAAGTGCAGTCAGGGAAATGCAAGATTCTCCAAGCCTGTTTAGCCAAAAGCGCTTGGTTGAATAATTGGATATCACGAAAACCAAGCCCACCATGTGTTTTTGGAAGACACAACTTGTCCCAGCTTAACCAATGTATCTTCCTGTTGTGTTCAAAAGAGCTCCACCAAAAATGAGCCATAGCACTAGATAAGTTAGAGCAAGTAGTCTTTGGCAATTTAAAACAGGACATAGCAAAAACCGGCATGGCCATCGCAACAGACTTCAGCAAAATTTCCTCACCCCCCCTAAGATAATGACCTAGAGAACCAGCCAGTCAGTTTGGACTTTAATCTATCCTTGATATATCCCAACATCTCCACTTTTGATCCGCTGAAACATTCTGGCAAACCCAGATAAGTTCCTGCTCCACGTTCATTAGGTATCTTAAGGATAGCTTGAATATCTTTTTTCAGAGAATCCAGAACTTTGGATCCAAAGGTGATTGAAGACTTGTTGAGATTCACAGTCTGACCCGTTACAGCCCCATACACATCAAGAATTCTCTGAAGCATCAGACTTTTATCTTTGTTGGCTTTACACACAAAAAGGCTATCATCAGCGAACAATAAATGATTAATGGAAGGACCCTCAAAATTGAACTGGATACCATCAATAAAACCCCTTGATTGAGCTGAATTTAGCAAATGGGATAGGCCTTCTGTACATAGAACAAAAAGGAAGGAAGATAAGGGATCTCTCTGCCTAAGGCCCCTTTGAGGAATCACCATTCCAAAAGGCTGGTCATTTATCAACACCGAGTATGTTACTGAAGAGACACAGAATATAACCCAATTAATCCACTTTTCATGAAAACCAAGGGCTCCAAGCAGGGTTCTAAGATAACTCCATTCGACTCTATCGTAAGCTTTGGACATATCAGATTTCACTGCCATAAAATCAGTAGAGATAGAGGGGTGAGCATTGAGACTGTGTACTAGTTCGTGTGCTACCAAGATGTTGTCTGAGATGAGGCGCTCAGAAACAAAGGCTGATTGAGAGGTAGACACCAACTGAGGAAGAAAAGGCTGCAGTCTTCTTACCATGACTTTTGAAATGATCTTGTACAAAACAGAGCACAAACTAATTGGTCTGAGATTAGCCATTTCTGTGGGATGAGGAGTCTTTGGAATGAGACAAAGATGGGTGTAATTCCATTCAGAAGGAAAAACACCAGTTTCAAAAAACTGCCTTACTTCAGAGATAACCTGCGGCCCAACAATTTTCCAATAATGCTGAAAGAAGAGGCCTGACATACCATCAGCTCCTGGAGCACTGGATGGTTTGATGGAGAAGGTAGCAGTCTTGATCTCTTCATCAGACACTGGACCAATAAGAATCTTGTTCATTTCCTCCGTTACCTTTGGAAGAAAATCAGTGAACCAGCCAAAAAAACTTGTAGGGTTGGAAAAGGTAAATAGATTCTGGAAATAGGCACAAGCAACTTCACCTTTTTCTGCCTCAGACTTCTGTTCAATTCCATTAATATCCAACAACTTCTCAATTCTCTTCTTTGATCTATTTCCTTTGACTGAAGCATGAAAAAACCCAGTATTCCTATCACCACAGTTCATCCACTTGTCCTTGCTCTTTTGACTCTAGAACAGCTCTTCATCTCTATAAGCTCTAGCTAATTCTTTTTTCAAAAAAAGCACATGATCAAGACCTGGAAAAGAAGAAGACTGAACCTTTTCCAAAGCATTTTCCATTTGATGGATCTTGTCATTTGCATTAGAAGGATTCTTTTTTTTTCCAAGAGCTGAGAGCTTTCCTACACGATCTTAATCTATCAGAAGCCGAGATCCCTGATACTGATCTTAATTGATTCCAAGCTCTGGCCACTTCCTCTTCAACTTTGGGTTTGAAGAGAAATCTCTTATCAAACCTGAATTGCCCTCTGTAAACCTCTTGAGAAGAAAGAAGATGCAACAATACAGGACGGTGATCTGAACCTCTGAAGTCCAAAAAAGTCTGATTAGAGACTGGGAACTGACTGAGCCATTCTTTGTTTCCAAAAACCCTATCCAATCTACTCTGAATCCACAAGTCATATCTCTTGCCAGCCCAAGTAAAACGATTACCTTGACTGTGAAGCTCCTCCATGTCACAGGCGGATAACATCTCAATGAAAGGTTTGAAATAGGAATCACATCTCCTGGGACCTCCAAGCTTTTCACCATTATTTAGAATATCATTAAAATCACCGAGTATACACCAACTCTCACGTCTGATGATACCAATTCTGCTAATTCTCTCCCAAACTGTTTGTCTTTTTTTGAAATCCGGATCACCATACACACATGAGACAAAAAAGGATGAAGCTCCAAACTGAACATGAAGATCTATAAGATTCTTGTCAGCAAACTTAACATCCATTTGAACACTGTTCTTACAGAAGACTGCTAAACCACCACACTTCCCAATCGGATCCACTGTAAAAACCTTACTATACCCAAGCCACTCTTGTAAATCAACTAAAGTATCCCTATCATGCATTGTTTCCATCAAGAACAATATCTCAGGAAAGTGTTTTTTACGCAATTCCCTAAGACGAGGAGCTGCCAAGTCTTGAGACCGTCCCAAGCCATGACAGTTCCAGCTTATAATGCTCATTGATGGTTGGGCAATCCCTCCTTTGGGATCACCTCTCTGGGATTAAGCTTTGAAGATTTGGCAGTGCTTGTTCCCACTTGAACTGCTTTTCTTTTTTCCTTCACACCAACTGTTAACCCTGATTTTAACACCATCTCTATATCCGCAGCCGGAGGAATAAAGGGTTTTGGTTTTCTTGCATTTTTTGTTGGTCTTTTTCTTGGTTTTGTCTTTTTAGAAATAAACCCGGACGGACCGGCTTCAGATAAACCGGTCCTAAAAACCGTTGGTTTACTCTGAAAAGGTTGAGACAATCCAAGAAAAGATGCCTCTGGAGCTACCAAACTTGTCGAAAATGAATCCACTAACCAAGACCTATCAGCATCAGCTTGAGGACTAGAGGAAAATGAATTCAAACTTAAACCGGTAGAGATCCCATCGTTCAGAGAAGAAGCTTCACTATCATAGCTGAAAACCACTCCCTTATCCTTGTTAACTTCCAAATGCATCACAGGAGGAGATTCTAGACGGAGGATTGATTTTTGAGCTATAGGGTCCTTTTCCACCTCTCCAACAGATTTCTTGACTCTTTCTGCTTTGATGATTAAGTCTTCCCCATTAGCAAACATCAGATATTGCCTCATACCCTCTAGAACCTCTGGAGCAATTTTTGGTCTTCCAGTTGAAGAATCAATCCCCACTTGATCCTCTCTCAAGACCCCAAATAAAGGGTCTGATTCTTTTAGTACTAAAGGTCTCTTTGCTCTCGCAACAGGAATTCCATTTCTTCTAGCCAAAGCCTCATCTTGTCTTCTCTTTATAATAAGGGGGCAAACCTCTTTCTCATGAGTTAACCTTTGACACTCATAGCAGCGCTTTTGAATCCTCTCGTACTGGAAACGAACTGTTGCAGTCCCACCTTTAATGTTAACCACTTTTGATCTCCTTAGAGGCCTAGAAACATCAAAGAGAACCTTAACTCTAACAAATTCCTGAAGTTGAGGTCTTGCAGGGTCAAAGGCAACTTCTTTTACCTCACCAATCAATCCTCCCAGCAAGGTAATTGCATCGATTGTAAAATGATTTATTGGTAGATCCCAAATCTGGACCCAAATCGGGATGAACTGAAGGTAGTTTTCTGGGGGTCTCTCAAACCACCTTTCAACCGCAATCGACCACTCGTTGAAAGTATGAGCTCCCTTGTCAAGCACATCTTGGAGATCATATTCGGAATTAAAGATGAACTGAAACTTTTCTCTAGTAAGCGCAATACCTTTCACCTTACCCTCTTTTTGCCACTTTCGTGGCATGTTTCTTATTAGACTTTTCATATCTTGACAATCGGGGTTTAGCAGTCTCCCAACCACACTCAAGTAATTCCTCTCGCAAGAGGAGAACTCAGGACGTTCTGGCATATCCAGCGGCAAATCTTCCTCATCTTCTTCCAGAGACATCGCCATCATAGCTTTATCCATGGCCGAAGACATGATGAAGCAACCAGAGCAGCAATAAAACACCACGAAACCTCACTCAATCGAAAATAAACGGAACCTTGCAAAAGAGGAAGGAAACCCAGTAGCTACGAACCGCTAAAATTACGTTAACCTTGACGAAACCCACAAGATCTGATAAGCAAAGTACCACCAAACTCTTTCACCGAATAAAAATTGCAGAAAATCAACAGCGTTTTCTAGATCTAGGAAGGAAGTGAAGAACCCTAGAGCAGCTTTTTCTTTTGCAGAGAAAGAAGAACGAAAAGGACATAAACAGGTTGAATAAAGCAAAAGGGATAGAGTTTTTATCCGGTCAATGCTCTTTTCCTGACTAATCAAAGACACTAGTTGGAAGAGAGAGTCTTAAGTGAATTTTCGCTCATAGTCACACGACAGTTTGTTTTCTTCAGCTTTCTCTATTGACCAGCTGTGTAATTATCTAAATGAAATTTTATTTGTTTTGTATATGAAAAAAAATATTATTTGATTTCAAACTCTAGTTATTGTTGGTGATGGGCTTTATACGGGTTTGGCCCAACAAAAAACACATTTATCTGTTCAGTTGCTAGTTGGCTAGTTGCTACAACTCACACCATCGTATTAGTTTAAACTTTGTAAACAATCAATACAAGTCTCTAGTTATTCTTCATTGGTTCAATTAGATCATTGCTCATATAAACAAAGGCTCCTCTTTAAGATATGCACGATTCATAATCTATAGGGTAAATTTTCGAATTCACAATTTGTCGCCGTTTTTGAGGATAATATTGGATTTTCTAACTCCAGAACACCAAATTAATGAACCCACGCTGAGACAATAAAACCAGGTTCGGTGACCTTGGCTCAAGCTGAACAAATTAAAAAGAAGAATGAGAATTATGGCAGTGTTGGTGTAGCCTTAGCCCTACATGTCATTTTCCTATTGGTTTTAATTATATTATAATTTATCATTTAAATTTTTGATCTAACTCTGAGATTGAGTCAAGGAACCATCTTATCCTCACTTGTATCTACTTTCAAGCTACCTGGTCAAGTGTCCTCTCTAGACTTGATCCAAACAGGATGTTGCTCCTCTCGTGGGCTGAGCTTTCTTTCATAGGTAAGAGTCTCCTCTATGAAAGCTTCGTCTATCCTTTGAAAACTCGCAGCTCAAGCAACAATCTACCACATTTGAAATCAATGAAACAACATCATCCACAATCAGGTTGTAATCCCATCTGCCACTATTTTCTTGCTTCTTGATAAAGAAATTTGAAACATTATCTCTGCAAGACGTCACAGGAAACGCTTCCGCAGCTTGATGCAGTTATGGTTAATTAATATGATCATGCCGATTTGTGTTTTCCCCAATTTGATTATGTTGATTTTTTTCTATATTTTAACCTTATTTAAAATTAGGGCAATTAGGACTAGTTAGTGCTTTATTTGTAAATTTAGTTAAGGATAGAGGAATGAGGTGTTTTTTTTTTTTGTCGTATGTTTTTATTAATATCACAAAGAAGGATACATTGTTGAAATACATAAGCCGACGAAAATACTAGAAATCCCCGGAAACTTAAAGCCCAAAAGAGGGAACCAGTTGAACACGTGGAGAATACAATCCACAAAAACGAAACAAAAGTCAAAAACTTAAACAAAAGCTCGAAAGAAAACGAACTTGCTAATCTTACTCCCACACCAATGTGAACAAAGCCAGCCACAAAGGACAACACGCGTCCATCTTGTAGTTAATGAAACCTCCTATTGCGTAGCCAAGGTACCTCTCAAATCGAATGAACCTAGACTTCTATTCCAACAAGAAAGACGCGAGATAAAGAGACCAAATCCCACAAATCTTTCGGAAGCGGCGTTTGTCGCAAACCACGACCTTTAATCGCCTCGTTAGAAGACATGAACTGACCAGACCTCGATCAGGTCTTGAGTGTAGAGACAAGGAGCGAAACAAACCTCTAACCGGCAAACACTAAACTCAAAAGGAGAAAAGCATACGATCGAACCGGAGAGATCACAATAAAGCTCATTAAAGGACAAAAGCAAGCTCAGCAAGACACGAAAACAAGAGAGCTCTAGCAAGCTCAGACCAAAGCTTCGGGCAGCAAGAGAGGAATGAGGTGTTATAACGGGTGTTAATTTAATTATTTAAGATAGTTTTATAATGGTTTCGGAAATAAATCTAATTATTTAAAATAAATTTATACCTTAATGACAAAACACTACTACAAAAATAAGATAAAAATCAAAATTTTCAGCTTTTCTACAAGAAATATAATTTTCTAAATTATTACATACATATTCTTTATATATTAAAAATGGGTTTTTAATTCTGATGTGACAAAATATTTGTATCAGCACTTTATATAAAATTAGTTTGCATCAAATATACAAAATAAACAATGAAAAACACTATATTTTTAGCGATAAAAACTGATACACTTGAAGAACTAATTTTTAAGAATGAGTTAATTTGATCATTTTTGCAAAAAAAAAAAATAATAATAATAACATTATTCTGAAATGAGTATTTTAGCTTACATGTCCAACATAAAGAGCTCCCATAGCATTTTTATTATTTATTAACTAGTAAATATATTTTGGTTATGGAGGTATAAAATAATGTTTAATTAGCAAGCAGTAGTATTACATACACAAGTACTAGGATTATTATATCCTAAACACTCACATCCAAAAACTTGTTTTTTCTCTTATTAAAAGCTGCTACGCATGCATCGCTTCTTATCTGCACACCTTTTTTGGCACCCGAGCATACTTCTCTATCATTTTATATAAAACCACAAGACATTTAGATAAACAATTGGAGATACAACAAATTTTAATTACTATAACCATGTTTTAGACCTAATTCCTTCTTCTTCTTTTTTTTTTTTTCTTTTTTTTATTATTATAGAAACCTCTTTCCTTTTTTCTTCAATTCAAGTAATTTTTCGCAATTAATTTTTCAGCTTTCCACAACTAACCAGTTAAAAGTTTAAAACTAATTAAACATAAGCTGATTTAATTTATTACCTTGAAAATGACCCAAAACAAATAACATGATAACACAAGAAAATGTGAACAATGTAGCAGATCTCATAACTTATAAATGCTGTATAAAATTATCTCTTGATGTATGAATACGTAAAGTCATATTTTGTCTTAATCTCTTAACAATCATATATATACCCAAACACATGATAAAAATAGTTGAATCTACTAATAGATAACGGTGGGGCTAAGTCAAACCTTTATTTGCGACTATATGTAACCAAATTAGTAAATAATCCATTAAAATGCAAACAATGCTTATTGACAAGAGACGAGTAGTAAGAAGAGGTTAGGGGTGTCATGAAACTCCTATAAAAATTAACATATAACTATTTATAGTGTAAATTTGATTGAATTTCGTAAATTATTAGTGAAAATTAGGTTTTGATCCCAATAAATTTTGTTTACAAACTTCATATGCATCTACTAATTCATATATTTTTCATCTATTATTATAGTATTTAAATAATATTTGTTTTTATATTAATATCTTTTTAATTATGACCTCCATTTCTAAAGGACCAGACATTTTTGAGACACAACATATGTAGAACTTCTGTCCTATTTTTCTTAATTGCAATACTATTTTCGCAATCAAAGTTCCGAATTTTTTTAACTAACCAATCAAATCTAAACACAAGCTAATATATTATTTTGAACCTGACTCAAAACGAGTAATATGATAACACACGAAAACATGGACAGCATATAGCATATCTCATGACTTAGAAATAATATACAATGTACCGTTTGATGTATGCCTAAAGATATATTTTGCCTTAATCTCTTAATAGAATAATATATTTTTCAAATACTGATAGTAAATATATCCAAATACACGATAAAAATAAGAGAAAATCCCATAAACAAATCTCATTTACATATTTTTCCAATTAAAAAACCTCAAGAAAATATTTTGCTTTCATATAAAACCTTCGAGTCATAATATTTTTCCAACTAAAACATTCAACATTTTTCATTTCCATATAAAACATCTAACTAATTAATTTTTTTTTTCACTTTATTTTCTTCTTATCTAGTTCATCTCTACCAGTCAAATCATATGCGTGTATATTAACTAATGTCGCTCCAAAAAACTTTAGAATCATCTGAGTTACCAAAAAAAAAAAACTTGATGTTCAACATTCTGGTTAAGTTTTTTTTTTATGAAAAATATGTATATTTAGCATTACCATCAAGCATGCTATCATCAGGTGCTCCGTCTAGGCTTAGATGTTGTAATTTTCTTGAATTATCAACAGTCTGAAAATAGACCCATGTTCATTTGGCTTCTCTATGGAAACACATCTGGTTGATGTTGTTAATTCTTCAACAAGTCCAACACTAGTATGAACATAAAAGCATAAAGTGAATATCAAAGAATGAGCGTTTGAATTCTGGTAAGGCAGACATTGTTACTTATTAAATTCTGGTAAGGCAGACATTGTTACTTATTATTTTGAGGATTTTGATATATAGGGGCAAGCAGGCCACCAAAACCATCAGTTGCGATCTAAGTATATAAAAAACAAAAACATGAACTTAACGTCTAGAAAGCCACATTAAAATGAAATAAGATCAACATACACAAACCTTAAACTTCATTCTCCTTTTCTCGATCTCAATCCACTTTTATTAGTGATTGGGAACCCATTTCAACATAAAGAGTAGAAACCATGTAGGGCTTCGTTCTACACCAATTTGACTGACCCCTTTTTTTACGGCACCAACCAAAGTTAGCATTATTTCAACATTGACAACAATGTATCCACCATTACCAAATTCCACTCTATTACTACTTTTGAAAATTGTCACCTTTACCCCATGGATTATTGTGAAATCAATGATAATTAACCCATGCATATCCTTGCAATATTTAGCGCCTGATTCCGGGCCATTGTAATTGTATATCTCACCATCATCGGTTTTCCAATGCTTATTCCAACCTTCAAAGCATAGTAATTTTGCACCATCATAGTAGATGTACTTTATAAGTTGAAACTAAGTTATGCGGAAGACTTGATTTACATCCTCAACAATCTACGATTTTTATAAAAAAATTTGATCAATAATTCAATATAAATAAGTGTAGACTAAGATGTAAGATGTAAGATGTCGATAGAACTATACGTGATTTGATTCAATGGAGAATATGAGTGCGAATCTGTCACTGGATGAGCCGGATTCAAAAAATTGATTTAACCATTGATAATTGATTAATTTGTCTTCTTAACTCAAATTAAAGATTTTTCAAAAAACTTTTGTTGAGATTTAAGTATTACTTTCTTTTTATTTAACTTATGGATATTTGTTTTTATATTGTAACTGTCTTACTCTTATCTTATTTTTTTGCCGTTTTTTTTTTTGTTTCTTGACTGTGTACCCATTTTGAATGAGCATATTAGCATTGCTTTAATCTATATATCTGTGTCATTACCTCAAACTATAAAGAGTTTACGGATTGATCTCGAGTTATAGTGTGCAAAATTTGTTCGCCATTACCACTACAAGGGAAAGAAAGTTGTATTAAGAATCTAGAAGATGAACAAATTCTAAGTAGCCATTTTTTACTCTCTATCTCCTATGAATCATTACAACCTCACAAGTTTTGACAAGCGATTAAGAAATATAGTATAGTAACAAATTGTAATTTCTCTCTTTAAGCCATTCGCCTCACAAACAAGATTGTCTAATGTTAACTTTATGTGTCATATTGAAAACTTTGGTTGATTGACTTCAAGTGACATTAATGGCATCTTGTTCTGTTTTAGACCTAGAATAGTTCAAGGGTGTTACAAATTCACAATAAGGGTTCAAAAGTTTTTTTAACCGAGAGAATATGGAAAATAATACCTATTTTGTAAAGCTTTAAAAAATTATCAAAATAACAAGCACTAGCTTATAAATATTAAATGCCAATTCTTCAAATAAGACCATGGACACCAATTCTCTTAATGCCTATTCACATATTTATAGTCACAATGAGGTCTATAGAATCAAGTCTGACTATTAGGCATATTATATGGACCATGAGACCATCTCCAATGGGGGATTTAAAGTAGGACTCTTAGGTTTAATGAGATCAAATTTAAATCAAAATACTTAATATTGCTAAGAATTGGCTCTTAGCTAAGAGTTTTTTTAGCCTCTAAGAGACGCTGACGTGTCGGCCTCTTATTGGCTGAAGGTATTTTAACATTAATCTCCTACCTCCATCTTCATCTCCCAATTTCATACAATTTTACCAATTTCATACACATTAACACCAAATTCATACATTTAGACACCAATTTAATTTTCAAAAATTTATTTTTAAAAACACCACTATATCATGTATTTTTAAAATTTATGTCATGTATGTTTCAAATTTTATGAATTGCAATAATTATTACGTTTTCTAAAATAAAACTCGTAAATATGATGGCCACTAAAACTCGATTTTGTGATCGAGCTATGCATCAACAATTGAAAGCGGATTTGGTGGAGCATATATGGACAAAATTTGGCGGAAATCAAGTTTAAAACTATTAAGTTTTAAGTCATGTATGTTATAAATTGTATGTCATGTATGTTTCAAATTTTTTCATTTGCAACAATTATTAAGTTTTCTAAAATTAAAATTGTTTCTTTAATTTCTATTTTAAATTAATATTTTTTTTTCTCTAAGAACCACAACTTAAGAACCTACTATTGGACAAATCAAAATTTAAAACCAATAAACAACTTCTTAAGTCTAAAATTTTCCAAATTAATATTAAAACTAATCCTAAGAGTTAACATTGAGTCCCTCAATGAGGATGCTCTGAGTCCTCATCATCCAAAGATCTTAATCATGATTGAACTCTATAAGTTTGTTTTGTATTAATATTTATTGGTTGGATTCATAAAAGTTAGGGGTCTTTGGTCAAAGCAGGCTTGCCTCATTGTCAATTTAGATTGGTGCAGAGTTAAAGGTTTGAACATTAGAAAAACAAACTTGGAGGTACCCAAATATCTCTGATTCGTATCAAATCGGTTAACCAAATCGGACAGGCCGTACCAAGATATAATGCATCTGCAAGCAGGTCCAAAACTAGATTGTGTCTTATGAAAAAACACCAAAAGTATCAAGGAAAAATTACAAAAGATGCATACAAAACTATACTATAAAATCTTATGCAAGTGGTACTGATGCCTTATTTCATCTAAAGAAGCTCGATCGTCGGTCTGATCATTAAGATTACACACTGATTTCTCGATAACTATATACAATCTTCCGGAAACATTTCCTTTTCATTTTCCTCCAAAACCAAAGCAGCAACACTGTCAATTGCACAAGACAAACCAATGTTCAAAACACTCACTGTTTGAATACGTTTTCACTGATGATTCTACTTGAAAAATGAGCTAAAGGATGTCTTACTGTGGAAGTATTGTTAGGTTTACTGGAGTTTGGATGAGTTGGCGTTCTTGAAGATCCACTCACATTTGCTCCAGAACTTCTCTCTTCGCGGACTTTATTGAAGATATGTGTGTATCCATCAGCTGATGACGGGTTGTTCTCGTCCCAGTCACCGAACTTCGGCACCACTGTGACTTTTTCAGGCTATATAAAACAGTTGACAACACATAAGTAACAAACAGAGAGATTCATAATTCAAACTCTTTGAGGTAAAAGTGAGATTCTTACGCTTTCATCAGCTCTAAGATTAGCAGGTTTAGGCCTAGATTTTCCAGTACCATCATATGAATTCTTATGCAAAGGTGACTTGTCATAACTATTGTTCTGAGAAGCTCTTCCTTGTCTTTTGTTAGCAGCTTCATTTGATGAACCACCAGCATCACCAAACTGCTTCAACTCGCTCTCTTCTCGGCTTCTCATATGCTCACGCGATCTTCTAACCGGCTCAACTTGCTCAGCTTTGGTTCTGGAAGGAGGAGGAGGAGCTTGTGATTGAGAATCAGAGTTATACTCCGGGTCATTCGGGTTAATGATCTTGCCACCGGGTGCTCGAGTCTTACGAGCTTTGTCAAAGTAAGCTGTGTAAGGAACATTCTCCTCAGCTTCCCAGTTTCCAAATTTGGGTACATTCGAACGCTATTGCAACAAACAATTCAATCACTTCATCAACAATGTCTTCAACAAAACATTCAACAGAAACATAAAGACCCTAGAGAACAATCATCACAGAACCAAGATAGACACAACAACAGCAACAACACAATGATCTTTGAAAATTAACTAAAAATCCAAAACAGAAAAAGAAGACAACAAAGCCAAATTGGGTTTATAGATTTCATTCAAACACAAACATAAACGTTGAAACTTTTGCTAATCGAAAATAGAAACTTTACCACAAAAATAGGAACTTTCATAAAACCCTTTTGTTATCTAAAGCAAATCAGAATCATAAAGTTGAATAATACACATCGCAATCCATGGAAATGTTATCTCAAAAGGAAGAACCATAAATGCAAATAGATAAAGACTCAACTTTCTCCAAAGACTTCAGAATAAAAGGTCTCAAATATTCACGGAATCTAAATCTCAGAGAGACCTAAAGACGAAGGCAAGAAAGAAAAAAAGAAAACACTTACTGCCATGGGAGAGAGGTAGCTAAAGAATTGAAGTCTAAAGCTTTGTTAGGTTTGAGAGAGAAAGAGAAAGACAGAGAGATGTGAGAAGGAGAGGAGACGAAGAAGAAGAAGAAGTTATATCAAAGCGTTGACTAAGTGATGCTATGAATTCTTTGACCCTTCTTCTCCTCTCTAATCTTCTCTTCTCTCTTGTCTCACTCCAAACTCTATTAATTTCCTTTTCTTAACTCTATTAGTTTTCATCTATATAGTGAAAAACACTCAAACGCCGTTACCGTTACCGTTACCGTTACCGTTACCGTTAGGGGCGGCTTTTATTTGGTGTCCATGTTACAGCGTTTTCCTCTTAAAGATGTAATAAATATTTGTGTCCTAAGATTTGGCTATGTGTGTCGGAAGCAGCTTTTGGTGGAATCTTCTGCTCAAGATAAGTTTTGTGGCTCTAATAATTAAATGCTAATAGTAGAATTTGATTATTGATAGCAACAAATTATAATGGTATAGCAGAATTTAGTGAATTATTGATCTTGGATTTTAGCGGATTAATGAGTAATAGTACAATAACTGAAATTTCTTCTGGTGCAGATTGAGGAAAGTCGGCAATTTCATACCCAACCTATATAGTAGTGTTCAATTCATACATGAAAGTTTACTATGTGCCAATACATACTCAATCGTTTAAAATTTTCAAATTTCATACCCAAACTTATCAAATTGTGCGAAATCACACATCTCCAGTCTCTATTGCTGACATGGATGTCACGTCGTTGATGACGTTGATGACGTGGTTTCCATGTAAGAATTTAAAATCTTCTTTTCGAGACTGATAACTAATATTTCAACCAAAACTAATATTTAAACCGAGTTTATAAACTCCAAATTTACAATTCTTCTAAAAATCTTCAAATCACTTTTAGTAGAAAACATAAACCCTTACAATATATCTTCTATGTTAATCAAAAGACATTTTTAAGTTGATCACAAAAAAAGAGAACTTAATTACATATATTACTATTAGAATAAATTGTCTTTTAAGAACAAAATACAATTCTCATTACTGGTAATATTGTCTTTGTATCTTAACTTATACTCCCTCCGTTTCGTTTTAGTTGTCGTTTTAGGACTTAAATTTTGTTTCGTAATAGTTGTCGTTTTAGGTTTTCAATGCAAATGTTTGGTAAAAATTCCAGTATTATCCCTATTGTTTTAATGTTTTGGCCAATAAAAAAATTTATAAGATATATTAATAAAGAGTAAAACAGAAAATTTAAGGTTTTTCTTAATTTGTGTGAAAAAACCTTAAACGACAACTAAAACGAAACGGAAGGAGTATATATCTATATATTCAAACAACCCTAATTGCCAATGATAATTAATTTATATATAAAAAATATTTTGTTCCTAAAAGACAATTATCAAATGACAATAAATGTAAAAAATTTCTTCAAAGATTAATATATAAGATTATTGTAGGGTTTATATTTTTCATTGAAAGCGATTTGAAGATTTTTAGAAAAAGAATTACGAATTTTGAGTTTAGAAACTCGGTTTAAATATTAATTTCGGTTAAAATATTAGTTATAAGTCTTGAAAAGAAGATTTTAAATTCTTACATTAAATATATAATTTTTTTCACAATTCCGTTGGATGATAGTGATGGACAAAAAACATGAGAAGAGAAAAAAAATTAATTTTTATTTTTGTTTAAAATGGTGATGACGTGGCAACGACGTCATGAAAGACGTGGCAACCACATCATCAACGTCATCAACGACGTGACATCCACGTCAGCAGTAAAGATAAAAGTTGTATGATTTCGCACAATTTGATAAGTTTGGGTATAAAATTTGAAAATTTTAAAAGATTGGGTATGTATTGGTACATAGTAAACTTTCATGTATGAATTGAACACTACTGTATAGATTGGGTATGAAATAGCCGACTTTCCTGCAGATTAATACCGATTCAACTATAGAGAGGTACTATTTTTATAAATATCACCATTTATGTAAAAATTCAGTATACTTTTATTACACCCATTGTTTTTGAGAAAGAAAACTTACAAGCGTTCAGTGTTCAAGAAAGCACTAGGCGCTAAGCGGGCGGTGACCCAGTGCCTAGCGCCTACAACGCTTAATCGGGGCTTAGGCGATTTTTTAGGCGGTTTAGACGTTTATAACATAAAACATTATAAATATGATATTATATATAAAAGTTATATAAAATATCTATATAAAACTAAAAAATATGAAATTATAAACAAAAACTAGACAAAACATTTATTTATATTTATATTAAACAATATATAAATATTTATAACTATATATATAAATAAAACTCTAATTAAACTTGAAAAAATACATTAAACAAGATCTATGTAATTTTAGGCGGTCAAGGCGGTTATCTAGGCGTCGCATGAGAGCCTAGCGCCTAGTCGGGGCCTAGGCGACCGCCTAGACCGCTTTTTAGAACACTGCAAGCGTTAAACCCTTTTTCAAAGAAAAGAAAACAAATTTAAGAGTGTTATTCGAACCGTACTAGCAAAATAATAATAAGAGGGAAAAAGAGTATTCTCGTATCTTATAAGATTTTGTGGAGATTTTGTGGAGAGTGCTGGCTCCCAACGCACTACCCAGCTAGCTGTGGTGAGCGTTTACTTTGGGATAGCCATAGCTGGGTACAAATCGCTAGGAATCGCGTGGAATATTGTGAACAAGTTTGGAGTCAACTTGATGAGTATTTGGACTATATTATTGCTGATGCTGAGATGGATCTAGAGGGTCAACGTGTGTTCCAACGTCATGCGATATTCAGAGCCATTAACTTTGCAAAATGGCTGCGAGTTCATTGCATTACCCACACGCTATTGAATCTTCGCCTTGACCTTCATCAAACTCGATTCTTAACCCGCATTCTCTTTGCATCATGTTACCTTTCACATCCATTGAACCTGCTCAACATTCAAATCGCCCACCTCATTAGCCTCGTCTTGGACATCAATGACTCCCTTCCATTCTTAAGAAGGGGACCGGTTTTTGGTCTTCCAACTTACGATACTTACCGAACGGTTGATGAAATTGAGAACGAGTGGATAGGGGTGCAGCTTACAAGCTCTTGGTGGTCGAATTTACTGGGTATTTCTCTTCAGTGAGATCTGAAGCTCTTGTTTTTAAAACTATTTATTTTTGAATGTATTTTCCACGCTGTGTTTGAATTCCTTAGCTTTTGAAGATCTCTCTTTTTGAGAAGATTATAAAATTATCATATTAATGAGACCATTTAAATTTTTAGCACCAATATAACCAAATGAGTTTTTGACTAAAAAAAAAAAGTATTTTTCAAGAAAAAAGAGTGTTCTAAGAACAGTACAAGAAAAAAAGAAAGAAAAAACAGTACGAACAAAATAATGAAAATATATATATATATATATATATATATATATATATATATATATGAAAAGGTGATTAATGAAAGGTGGTTCACCACCACTCCATATTTTTATGGTTTTTCCTAAAAAAATATGTATGAATTAGTAACAATTGCGGTCAAAAAAAATTATTAACAATTATTTGAAAAACTTATTTCGCCCGCTCGAGATATTATTTAATACTCCCTCGGTTTCATAATATAAGTCGTTTTAGCTTTAAACACGCAGATTAAGAAGATCTACTTTTAAAAAATTCAACCAATCATAAAAGAGACTGCATAATATAAATAATTATAAAATATTAAAGTAATATATAAAGTGCATAGAAACTTGAAAACGACTTATATTATGAAACAAAATTTTTTCTCCAAAACGACTTATATTATGAAACGGAGGGAGTACTTGTTACAATAATGATTTTTATTATTTGCTCAAAAAATTCTTTTTTTTTGTTATTGTCATTATTAAACTCTTTTGTTTTTATTATACCATTTTTGTACGTCTGTTTACCAATCTGATAGAGTGCAAACAATAACAATCACTCCAATCAATATATTTTTTTTGAAAAAATCGATTGAGGGCATATTTTTTTGTTGGATTTTGTGCAAAAAAACTTCAAACTCGTCCGTTTTTTTAACTTTATCTTTCATCTACGCAAAATGTAGATTAATCTTACGAAGTCCAAAATAATATCAATGTGACACTTATTCGCTACCATCAAGTCGTAAAATTTTGACAAATAATATATCAAATCGAAGTTCTCGCGATGAAGAGTTCAACTCTACTTTTAGAATTTTAAAAAACTAATGTATGTGATCGGAAAAACGTTTACAATATACGTATAAAGGTTATATTGCGTATTATTTTAGATTTCGTAGGATTAATATGCATTTTTCGGAGATGAAATAAAGTTGTAAAAACAGACGATTTTGAAGGTTTTTTTGCACAAAACCCTTTTTTATTTCGTTGAGATTTTTTGCAAAACAAAGATAGAAAACACTTTTCTCAAATATTTAAACTCTTTTATACGCTGCATCACAACCACATTTTTTGTTCTAATGGTTTTGTGATTTGATATAAATAAATTGATGGTTTTGAATAACATTCATAAAAACACTTTAAAAGCCCTCAAAATAAAAGTATATTAATTATACGTTGCATCACAATTCACAACCACATTTTTTGTTCTAATGGTTTTGTGATTTGATAGAAATAAATTGATGGTTTTGAATAATAAGCTAAAGAGAATTAAGAATTGAAAACGTTAATGAGAATATTAACTCCAAAAAACAAAAAAAAAAAAAACAAAATTCCTGGCGACATTTTAGTTAGCAAAGTCAATGCTGCCTCTTTACACCGAAAGACCCTTTTGAGAATTTACGTACCTCTTTCTTCCAAGAACATATAACATGTCTCGTGCCAATGGCATCAATTATCTAACCAATGAAAACAAGTTGTTCACTAAAAACCATAATTAAAATATTATGTTATAGTAATATTTATTATATGACAAAGTTGAAAAAAATGGAAAGTATTTAGCCTTGTTCACATCAATTTATTTGTGGTTGCCGTAACGATAATTATTCAATGCCCCGTACTTATACACACGTGAACTCTAGTCCACACGTACAAGTGTTTTCACATGGTTAATGCCTTAATGGGAATATCTTAGAAGCAAAAAATAAAGATTGGGCACGAAAAAATTAGAAAGATCAAATCAAAGAAGACAGATTGTTCAGCTTCAGTTTCTCAACGTGAGTTTGTCTTATTATTTTTTGTTGTCAAGTGATTATATATGTACTGTTGCAGAAAATGGATAGTTATGACAACTAAGAGGTCGTGTGCTTTCTTACAAATATTTTCGTTTCCAATTTTTTTGGTGACATTTATTTTTGGGACTTTAGTAGATTAGACCACTCTATTTTTAGTCACATATCAAATTTATTTTTATGTAAAATGGTCCGCGGTAGACTTCTTTTGTTTTTCTCGATCCATACTATTACGGACTATAATTTGATAAATAAAAAACGGTTCAATCTGTAAACGGATTTGTCTGCCCCAACTACGGTAACCATACAAAGTAGTGCGACAAAGGTAAGGGTTTCTCAAAATCTCATTGCATTATTTAAGGGGTTTAACGCTCTCTTAGTCTCTTTAATAAGTCTCAATTCTTAAGTCTCTTTCACATTTGTCAATTAACTTGAATTTGCACTTTGCTACTCTGCTTTTCTCAAAGTGATCAAGAACCTCTCGGAATCTTCTTCTCCTGGTTTTTCTTCACATTAAAATAGAAATTGACCCGGTTTGGTTTTCTTATTCAACGCGTGGAATGTATTGTTAGAGTTCTTTAACTAGAAACCTCACTCCAAAATTGGTTCACATGAGTCAGAAATGGATGTATATACATACTGAAATAAGAATAGGATGCTCAGAGAGACATAACTATTCGGTTTCGGAACATACATCTCTTATCTCAGTATTCAAGTTCCTCTACACTTGCAGCATATGATTATGTTCATGGTGACTCAGATCTTCCATAAGAAAAGTTC